CTCTCCTTCCTCCCTTCCTCCCTTCCTCCCTTCCTCCCTTCCTCTCTTCCTCCCTTCCTCCCTGCCTCCCTTCCTTCCTTCCTTTTGTCGGTCATGGGGTCTGAATTATGAGCCTGGGAGCTATCCCTCAGCTTTTCAGCTCAAGGCTAGTGCTCTACCATTTGAGCCACAGCTCCACTTCCTCCTTTTTCTGCTTAATGGGGTGCTGAGGAATTGAACCCAGGGCCTCATTCATGCAAGGCAAGCACTCTACCAATGAGCCACTTTCCCAGCCCCTTGAGTTGTTTCTTTAAAAGCATTTTTTTTTTCAATAGTCAAAGGTAGGAATGCAAAGAACTTTATTTTCTTGAGTCATTTTATAATTAGGCTGTTGACTTGATACCTCAGTAACCCCAAACACTGCAATGCATGCTTGCTACAAATAAGATTCTCTTATATAACCAGAATGCAACCATAAAACATTACCATAATTATATCAAATTCTTAGAACTCTTGTTCTAGCAATTATTCTTTATAGCAAGAGAATCTGATTATTAAGGATTTCATATTGCATTTTGTTATTATGTGTTTAGTCTCATCTTGCTACAGTTTCTCAGTTTTTTTTTCTTTTTTCAGACAGTAACATTTTGAATATTATGGATCAGTAATGTTTGGCCATTAGACTGTTCCTCAGTTTAGGTTTATTTCATGATTAGATTCAAGGAAGATTCTAGAAGTGATGTTAGAGTCTAATTGTCTCCTGCTAGTTTATGATTTGTTTTTGTCCGGATGATTTGCTTTTTGATCACTTGATTAGGGTAATGTCTACTAAACATTTTCATCATAAAGTTACTTTTGATGTTTGTGAGGGCATACTTTGAACCTATGCAAATAAACTTGTTTTCTTACTCAATTTTCAATTCATTCTTTTTTTTTTTTTTGCCAGGCCTGGGTTTGAACTCAGGGCCTGAGTGCTGTCTCTAAGCCTCTTTGTGCTTAAGGCTAATGCTGTACCACTTGAACCACAGTGCCACTTCTAGCTTTTTCTGAGTAGTTTATTTGGAGTCTCACAGACTTTTCCTGCGGCTGACATTGAACATCCATTTTCAGATCTCAGCCAACTGAGTAGCTAGGATTGTGAGTTTGAGCCACTGGTGCCCAGCCATTCATTTATTTTTAACTGTGGTGATATTTACTTTCTGTTCTAGTCAGTGGGTTTCATCCATTTCTGTTATTATTTGATGTTTTAGACTTGGGGACTAAGAACCCCTTTAAGTACTCATTCTTTGAGTACTTTCTTGGTTTAATGTCCCAACAAGATGTTGGTTGCTCTTTGTATGGTTTCTACATTCCATTCTGGAATCAGTCATTTTCTAAGAATACAGGGTGATTTTTAGTGGCAAATAGTATTTACAAAGCAAGAGTGGGTGCTAGGAGTGTTCATTGCCTTTGGGGTGTTACTCTTCCCCACACTCTAACAGTGATCAGAGGTTAGGCATGTATGTATGAATATTTGTAAATTTATATAGATACAAGTTTAAATTGATATTTTAAGGTCTAACACAATATATACATCATTGTAGTTTTCTTTACAAGTGAAAAATATGGCTTCCATAATCTATATTTAGTAATTTGGATGTATGTATATTACCTTCTATTCTGCTAGATCTTCCTATTTCAGGGTGTAACTTTTATGCTAATTTATATCACTAGCTTATGTTACTTACCAATGTTCTCAGTGTTTTGTTTTGCCAGTTGTGGGGCTTGTACTTTGGGCCTGGGCACTGTCCCTGAGCTTCTTTTTGCTTAAGGCTAGCACTCTACTACTTGAGCCACAGCCACACATTTCTGGCTTTTTTTGAGTAGTTTATTGGAGGCAAGTCACAGGAATGTTCCTGCCTGGGCTGACTGTGAACTATGATTCTCAATTCTCAGTCTCCTGAGTAGATTATAGGAGTGAGGCACTGGCACCCAATTTACCTTAGTGTTTTAAAATGTGTCAGGGTTTTTTTTTCTTTTATAGAAGGCAGACTTTCATTGTAAGAACAATTTTGTATAGCATCACATATTGAAGAGGATGTGTGCCTTTTGATAATTATTTCAGAGATAGTGATGTATAACTTCATATATAACTCTTCTGGAATGTTATCACTTCAGCACAGTACCAGATGTTCTGGATAAATATTTTTAATGGAGAAGTATTTACTAAACTTGTGAGGTTTTTTTTTTTTTTTTGTGGGTCATGGGACCTGAATGCTGTGCCTGGGTACTGTCCCTCAGCTCTTCAGCTCAAGACTAGCACTCTACCACTTGAGCCACAGCTCTACTTCTGTTTTTTTCTGCTTATGTGGTGCTGAGGAATTGAACCCAGGGCCTAATGCATGCAAGGCAAGCACTCTACCACTGAGCCACCTTCCCAGCCCCACTTATGAGAGCTTTAAGAACCAATGCTGCTTTATAGTGAAATCATGATCCATGAGAACATCAATTTTATAATATTCACCAGTCTGTCAAAGTAATAATATTGTTTTGCTGTAGAGACTGGGTAAATTTGACAATGATTGGAGTGGCATGTCACCCAGCTGTTGAAAGAATCCCAGGTCACTTTGCATGTCTTTATCAGTTTAGAGCTGCCAGGTTCTTTTACCACTCCAAAGATAACTGTGGAGTCCACACTAACCCATCATCTCTACTACTTTAGAGCTTCAGGAAATTACTTAAGTTTTCTAAACCTGAGTTTCCCTACTTGTATAATGGGAATACAAATAGTTACAACCCAGAGTGTTCTTGTGGGGATTAAAGTTGCGGGGATTAAAATTTTGTGAATAAATTGTTCAGCATGGTGATCGATGCATAATAAATGCTCAGTGAATGTTTGTTGCAATTATTATTACTATCATGTTTGGGATGCTTGGGCGTGTTGAATCTCACATGGACTTCTATAGAAAGAAATCTATTCATTCTGTTTTTATAATGATTATTTGCTTTAGCTTAATTAAGTTTAAAAAAGTTAGTTTGTGCTAGATGTTTCAGAGGATTCAGAGATGAGTATGTAATTTCTAGCTTCAAGGAATTTGTTCTTGGTGTTTAAAGTTGGTATAACTCTGGGTTGGGAATGTGGCTTAGTGTTGGAGTATTTGACTAGCATATATAAAGCCCTGTGTTTGATGCTTCAGTACTAGATAAACAGAAAAAGCCAGAAGTGGCACTGTGGCTCAAGTGGTATAGTGCTAGCCTTGAGCAAAAGAAGTTCAGGGGCGGTGCCCAGGCCCGGAGTTCAAGCCCCAGGAAGGATAAATAAATAAATAAATATGGAATAATTCTACCAACAGTGATTTCTTTTTATTGGTTGGGAGGGCTGGGGAAGAATGATGAAAGGGGTGATATTGATCAAGATGCATTGAACTCATAAACTGACAAGTTGAACAGTAATCTCTTTATACTTAAAGATAATAAAAAAAGTAGTGATTTTTTTTTTTTTTTGCCACACCTGGGGCTTGAACTCAGGGCCTGGGCACTGTCCCTAAACTGCTTTTTTTGCTCAAGGTTAGCACTCTACCACTTGAACCATAGCTCCACTTCCAGCTTTTTCTGTTTATGTGGTACCAAGGAAGTGAACCTAGGGTTTCATGCATGCTAAGCAAGCACTCTACCACTAAGCCACATTCCCAGCCCAAAAATAGTTATATATATATTTAAAGCTGTATTGTTAAAAAAATTAAGATTGGATAAAAATGTGTAAGAAGGGGCTGGGAAGGTGGTTCAGTGGTAGAGCGCTTGCCTTGCATGTCTGAGGCCCTGGGTTCGATTCCTCAGCACCACATAAGCAAAAAGAAAAAAGCCGGAAGTGGCGCTGTGGCTCAAGTGGTAGAGCGCTAGCCTTGAGCTGAAGAGCTGAGGGACAGTGCCCAAGCCCAGAGTTCAGCCCCACGACCGGACCCTCCCCCCCCCCAAAAAAAATGTGTAAGAATAGATTCAAGTGAGGTGGTCTGAGATAGAAAAGAAGCATGTGTGTTGTATGTGTGAATGTATGTATATCTATCTATCTATATTTGCAGTATTAGTGATCGAAACCAGCACAGCATAATATATATTTTAAAGTTTTAAAGCTTTCTTGGAGTTTCTGATGAACATTCTTAACTTGTAGATTTTGTTTATTTCAGCCAGCACCTAACCAAGTTACTTTTCATCTGCCACTACATCGTTACTATGCTATGTTCTTGAGTAAGGTATGATTATCATTAAAGGATTGTATTTGTTTTTTAATTTTGGAACAAATGTTGAATTACTAACTTTTTTCAATCATAATTTTTAGGCTGTGAAATGTCAAGAACTAGATTTGGATTCTGTTTTACCAGATCAGGAAATGTTAATGAAACTAATGATTCACCCACTCCAAATTCAAGTACGTATTCATTACTAAAAAATTCTTTTGAATTGGATGCCATGGTTAAATGATTCTTTCCTTATTTTGTGTTTTTTTAAAAATCATTGTTAGTATGCCTAAAATGTTTGAATATTTAAAAGAAGTTGAAAGTTTTTTGATTTTCCCCCCAGATTATAATCAGATATTTTTGTTTGTTTTATAATATTTAATTTCCTTCAGGATTTTTTTTTTCATTTGCCAGTAGGAGAATTTGAACTTGTTTTTGGTGACTGAACTCAGGTCCTGGGTGCTGTCCCTCAGCCCTTTTGCTCCAGGCTAGCACTCTACCACTTTGAGCCACTTCTCCATTTCCAGTTTTCTGGTGGTTATTTGGAGATAAGAGTTTCACAGACTTTCCTGCCCAGGCTGGCTTTGAACCACTATCCTCAGATCTCAGCCTAGTAAGTAGCTAAGATTAGAGGTATGAGCCACTATTGCTGGGCTCCCTTAGCTTTTTAGCTCAAGGCTAGAACTCTACCACTTAAACCATAGTTCTATTTTTGGCTTTTTGTTGGTAAATTGGAGATAAGATTGTCATGGACTTTCCTGCCCTAATGGACTTTGAACCTTGATCTTCAGATTGCAGCCTCCTGAGGAGCTAGGATTACAGCTTGAGCCACTGGCACTCTGCCGAGCCTGGCTTTTTGCTAGTTATTTTAAACAGTTTTGAAGACTTTTCTTTCTAGGCTGTCTTCAAACTATAGTCCTCCAGATTTTAGCCTTCTGATTATATCACCCAGTCCCCCAGGACTTCTTTACTAGACTTTGTAACTTATAGAGAAGTTCGAACAGCTTTAATGCTACTTAAGGAGTTTGAAAACTCAATAGTTTCTAGTCTTAGTATTACCAAAATTTTATTGTTTACATACTTTTATTTTTTACATTTTTACATAATTCTTTGGTTCTCAATTTCTTTGTCCTATTGAAAGAAAAGCATTAGCTTGAATAAGTGCTGACACATTAGTTCTTATAGTGTGATTTTGTTGGCCAGCCTTCTAAATACATTAGAAAGATTTACATTGTAGCATTGGTGGGTCAGTGACAGGATTTCCAGTTGCTACCTGAGAAGCTGGAGTTTGATTCTTGGCCAATGCACAAGATCTTTTAGGGTCTCCCACCCTAGCACGGTGGGGTGTTCTATAGTAATTAAAGCATGACTTGAGAACCTTTAAAAAAAAGATGTATGGGCTGGGAAGGTGGCTCCGTGGTATAGTGCTTGCCTTGCATGCATGAGGCCCTGGGTTTGATTCCTCAGTACCACATAAGCAGAAAAAGCCAGAAGTGGAGCTGTGGCTCAAGTGGTAGAGTGCTAGCCTTGAGCTGAACAGCTGAGGGACAGTGCCCAGGCCCAGAGTTCAGGCCCCATGACCAACAAAAAAAATTTTAAAAAATTTACATTTCAATTAATTTTTCCTGGCAATTTTAGATTGTTAACTATTTTTGAACTTCAAAACTAGGGATTGCGGTCAAGTAAAAAAAAATCAATATCGGACAGGCTGGGAAGGTAGCTCAGTGGTAGAGCGCTTGCCTTGCATGCCTGAGGCCCTGGGTTTGATTCCTCAGTACCACAAAAGAAAAAAGAAAAAAGCTGGAAGTGGCGCTGTGGCTCAAGTGGTAAAGCGCTGGCCTTGAGCTGAAAAGCTGAGGGACAGCACCCAGGCCCAGAGTTAAGGCCCCATGACCGGACCCCACACCCCCCCCCCCAAATCAATATCGGAGTGTTTAGTTTTAGTTGATAATGGGCATAAAATATGAAGAATTAAATATTAATACAGTAAGAAGATTTATTTGAATTGGATTTTCTTTTCACTTTTCGTTATTTGGAAAATGAGTTATTTAGATTGGAGGTTGAATAAGTTACATTAAAGCTGTAGATTGAATTCATTGCCTGCATAATTAGCTTTATTTTGTGCTTATTTCTTGGGTTTCTTTAACATAATATGTAATTTTTTTTTTGTGGGGGAGGTGGTTTGGGAGAAATAAGAATGAAAAATGCCCATTGATTTCTTAGAAAGATTTCAGTAAAATGATTACAAATATATCCAGAGGCAAATATTAGAAATGAACTCATGTATAAATTCCCAAAAAGGTAGCAATTAAAAAAATTTAACACGCTGGGTGCTGGTGGCTCATGCTGAGGATTACAGTTTGAATACAGCCTGGATAAGAAAGCCCTTTAGTCTCATCTCCATTAATTACTCAAAAAGCTGGAAATGGCACTGTGGCTCAAGTGGTAGAATGCTTGCCTAGGCTCAAACTTCAAGCTCCAGGACTGCCCCTGCCCCATTCAAAAAATTAGTAATAGGCTGGGTCATTCTAAATACCTTTAATCCCTGGCTGAGGCTGGAAGATCATGAGTTCAAAACTAGTCTGACCTTTGAGAATCTGATACTGTATGTCAGAAATAACAAACAGGTCTGGGAACATTGCTCAAATGTTAGAATGACTCTGTAGCAATCACAAGGCCTTGGGTTAAAATTCTAGTACCATTAAAAAAAAATAAAAATAAAGCTGCGCACTGGTGGCTCATGCCTGTAATCCTAGCTACTCAGTTGAGATCTGAGAATCATGGTTCAAAGCCAGCCAGGGTAGAAAAGTTGAGATTGTAATCTCTAATTTACCACCAGAAAACTAAAAGTAGAGCTGTGGCTCAAAGTGGGAAAGCACTAGCTTTGAGTGAAAGAGGCTCAGGACAGCACCCAGGCCTTGAGTTCAAGTTCTACAACTGGCCAAAAAAAAAAAAAAGGTAAACGAGCAACTAAAAAATAGTATGTACCTTAATGTTGGGTAAGACATCAGGCTCATAATATGAATAAGTCATAAAATACATAAAAATGATTGTCTATTATGCATTTTTTTGTCAGTCATGGGGCTAACTCTGGGCTTTGGCACTGTCCCTGTGCTCTTCAGCTAAAGGCGAGCGCTCTACCATTTGAGCCATACTGCCACTTCCAGTTTTCTAGTGGTTTATTGGAGATGAGTCTCACAGATTTTCCTGCTGGGGCTAGCTTTGAACTGTGATCCTCAGATCTCAGCCTCCTGAGTAACTAGGATTACAGGCATGAGCCACCGGTGCCGGGCTTTCTAATATGCAGTTTTAGAAATACTATATTTAGATGATTTATTTGCTAATTACTTTATTTTATTAGGCAAGTCTTGCTGAAATCCATAGCAATATGTGGGTAAGAAATGGTCTGCAAATCAAAGGACAAGCCATGACTTATGTCCAGTCTCATTTCTGTAATTCCATGATTGATCCCGACATCTACCTATTGCAGGTAAGCCAGCTTAATAATGCAGATGATGTACTTAAGAATTGCATGTACTTAATTTTACTTTATAGAGATGACTGAGGGTGACTTGGAGAGGTCAGATCATTGAAAGAATAATTTGTCATATATATTTCCTTTTTTTTTTTTTTTTTTTTGGTCAGTTGTGGGGCTTGAACTTTGGGCCTGGGTGCTGTCCCTCAGTTGTTCAGCTCAGGGCTAGTGCTGTACCACTTGAGCCACAGTGCCACTTCACTTCAGGTTTCTGGTCGTTTATTGGAGATAAGAGGCTCATGGCCTTTCCTGCTTGGGCTGGCTTTGCACCATGATCCTCAGATCTCAGCCTCCTGAGTAGATAGGATTACAGGCATGAGCCACCAGGCCCCAGCTGTCATATACATTTCCCACGGGAATAGTATAGGCTATATCATATTGGCCATGAGAGGAGCATCAGGTTATTGTCAGGAACCAGGAGCCAGGAGAACAATTAGCTTTATTTGATGCTTATTCCTTGGGTTTCTTTAGGCATATTATGTAATCTTTGTGTGTGTGGGGGGGAGGTGGTTTGGAAGAAATAAGAATGAAAAATGCTCATTGATTTCTTAGAGGAGGAGGGTAGGGTAAGGTTTCTTCAGGAAAAGCAAAGCAACACAGGGGAAGCAGATTAGGACTAGCTAGTATGAATATGCTTTGTGGTACAAGATCTGTGCCTGTTTGCCTAACTTGGTCCTGTGCAGAGAAAATGCTGGGTTGGTGTGTGAGAATTAGATAAAGGGGTATTGACTTACATGAAAGATTTTGTTTTCAGGTAAGTTTTCTTTTGGGGGGGGGCGCAGTTCTAGGGCTTGAACTCAGGACCTGGGTGCTGTTCCCGAGCTTCTTTTGCCCAAGGCTAGCACTCTACCACTTGAGCCACAACTCTACTTCTGGCTTTTTCTTTTTATGTGGTACTGCAGAAAGGAACCTAGGGCTTCACACATGCTAGGCAAGCTCTCTACTACTAAGCCACATTTTCAGTTCCTCCCCATCCTTTTTAAAATTTGCTTTTGGGAATTAACTATTGCTATTAATAATTTATATTTTTTACTTGTCTCTAACTTCCTCTCTGTGTCTGTTTGATCCCCAACATGTCAAAATGTAATAAGGTATAGAAAAAGAGATGAACATGATTAAGAAATAAAACTGCATATGGAGAAAGTTATTTTTCTTTTGTTTTTGAAGGTTTGTGCGTCTAGACTTGACCCAGATTATTTTATATCATCTGTCTTTGAAAGGTAAGCATATATTTATGAACACAGGTATTAGGAAGTATTTGTTTTAAAATTTTGTTGTAATTTGTCTCAAATGTTTCTTATAGATTTAAGGTGGTAGATTTATTGACAATGGCTTCACAACATCAAAATACAGTACTTGATGCAGAGCATGAGAGATCAATGCTGGAAGGCGCTCTTACATTTCTTGTGATTCTTTTGAGTCTTCGTTTACATTTAGGTAAACCACTAGTACAGATACTTAAGTATTAACTGTTCTTCCTATCTTCCTCTACCCCTTTGTTAGTAACTGACTTATGAAAATAGGAAAGGATGTGGATATATTTAAACATAATTGCAAATTGTTGGCATGTTTCAAAGTTGGTAAAACTTTGAGAATAGCTTTTGAAAAATCTCTTGCTTAAGGTAGTACAATACATTTAAATTTAAGGCATGACATTCTTTTGTCTTTAATTTGAAGCATTCTGTATTAGATAAATTAACATAATAAAATCATTTATACCCAGACTGATTAATTCCATTTTTAATAATTTTAGGAATGTCAGATGATGAGATTCTCAGGGCAGAGATGGTAGCCCAGCTGTGTATGAATGACAGGACACATAGCTCATTGCTGGACCTTATATCCTTTTAAAAGTTTAATTTGCTGTTAGTAATAAGAACTAAAAAAAGGATTTTCATAGATTAAAAGTAAGTGTGTGTATATCTATCTGTGTTTCTGTGTATATGAAAGTGAACATTTTATTAAAGGTAGTCAGGTCTCCTTTTTATATATATCTAAGCTAGAATTTATGGCTAATAGTTAAAGGCCTACCTTATAATTACTCTTATTAAGGATTTAAGCATTTGTAAGAATGAAGATTTGTTAGAATTCAATCTTAAAGAATTTTTAAGTTTTCAGATTACTGTCTACAAACTAGAAATGTTCTTTGTATAGGACTGATAAAACAACTGAACGTGCAGTGGATGCCTTAGTTAATAAAGATTTTAGATAAACATAATGTTATTTTGAGCTGGGTGCGAGTGGCTTACACTTGTAACCTTAGACAAATCTGAGAGACTTATCTTCAGTTAACTAACAAAAAAACAGTAAGCTGGGCACCTGTGGTTCACACCTGTAATCCTAGCTACTCAGGAGGCTGAGATCTGAGGATCATGGTTCAAAGCTAGCCTAGGTGGACAGTCTTGGAGACTCTATATTTCCAATTAAGCATCAGAAAACCAGAAGTGGTGCTGTGACTTAAGTGACAGAGCACTGGCCTTGAGCTGAATAGCTCAAGGACAGCACCCAGGCCCAGCATTCAAGCCCCATGACTGACAAAACAACAACAACAAAAAATACAGTAGTGGAGATGTGGCTCACTGGTAGAGTGTCAGTCTTTAGCAAAAAAGCTAAGCAAATGCAGGAGGCCTTGAATTCAAGCTCTAATACTGGCATAAATGAAAACATTTGACTAAGTTTCTTATGTATGTTTCTTATGTAAGTTTCTTATGCATTTGGAAGAATTGGCTATAAAAATTTGATTATGTGAACTGACTTCTATTAGAATTATTGTTGGACACTTTTCAAGGTTTACATAAGTGGTATCAATTTTATTCTGTCTATAACAGAACAAAAGTGTTCTTTTTATCTTTCAAGTATAGACTATGTAATAATAGACAGAAAATCTTTGTGGTATGCTTCTTCATATTTTTACTTACATTGCTTACCATGTTTTCTTTTGAAAAGTTTTGTGTTTTTGGAAAAGTAAAATGTTTAGTCAAAAATGTTGGCTTATTTTTAGTATATATTTTTTCTGAGGAAATACATTATTATTTACAAAATGGCAAAAATGAGAATCAATTAAAATTCCTTTCATTTTCTCAAATTTGATGAGTTTGTTTGGGAGAAAATATATGAGACTACTTAATCATAAAGTTTATTTATTGGCTCTTAGATTTAAAATACTGAGAAAGAAGACACCAGGTTGGTATTGAACTGTTATGTAGCCCTCTTGTGGCCAAGTTTATACATTACAGCCAATTCCCTGTTTCAGTAAAATAAACTATACTCTTTGGGCTATGAAGCTGGATTTTAGTCATTAATTTTTTTTCTTGACATATGCATCATATTCCAGAAAATCCTAATCCCAAAAGTGGCATTATTCCAGGTAGTTACAGCTTTGAATCAGTTTTATCAGCAGTAGCTGATTTTAAGGCTCCTGTTTTTGAACCTGGAGGTTCTATGCAACAAGGCATGTATACTCCCAAAGGTATGTTTACATACATAAATATGTTCCTCCAAAAATCAGTCTCTGAAGATGTTTGCTTTTTATTCATTTAGTTTTGTTTTCTTCTGTTCTTGTTTTATAAATTTATATCTTTAAGGTAACTAGTGATATTGCTTCCATTTATTTATAAATTTGGTTTTATGTTACAATAAGCCTTCTTAGTTGGCTCTAAATTATAAAAGGAACTTTAGATATGAAGTCTTACTTGTACACTTGATCATAAGTGAATAAATTATAGAACAAAAGAGTATTTAAGAACATTAAAAGTTTTATTTTTTATTTTTTGTGCCAGTTCTGGGGCTTGAACTCAGGGTCTGGGAACTATCTCTGAACTTTTTTTTTTGCTCAAGATTAGTACTCTACCATTTGAACCATAGCTCCACTGCCAGCTTTTTGATGATTAATTGGAGGTAAAGAGTCTCATAGACTTTCCTTTTCTAGGCTATCTTTGAACCACAGTTCTCAGATTTCAGCTTTCTGAGTACCTAGGATTATATGTGTGAGTCCCTGGTGCCCACTTTCAGCTTGTGTTTATAGTTCTTATATTGAGCCTTGGTTTGACAAGTTTTTTATTTTCTTTAATTCATTATCCAGTTTTTTTTTTAATTTGCTGGTCTTGAGGCTTATCTGGACCTAGATGCTGTCCCTGAGCTTCTTTTGCTCAAGGCTAGCTCTCTACCACTTGAGCCAGAGCGTCATTTCTGGCTTTTTCTGAGTAGTTTATTGGAGATAAAAGTATCACGGTCTTTTTGCCTGGGCTGGCTTTGAACTGGGATCCTCAGATCTCAGCCTCCTGAGTAGCTAGGATTATAGGTGTGAGCCACTGGCACCCATCTACTATCCAGTTTTTAACTGGAGACAATTTAAAGTCTACATAGGATTCTAATAGCACTTAGAATTTGAATCTGTTTAAATACATAGGAACTTTTTCGATAAATAGTTGATTTTCTAGGTTTTTTCCCTAGGTGATATGCCTGACAAGAGTGAGAAATAGGTGAGGATATATTTTACTTTTCATTTTTGCTGAAGTTACAAATGTGTAGAGAAACAGTAGTGTGCTTCTTGACCCTACATTATGTAAATGAGAATTAAATGTGCATTCATATATTATACATAGTTTGTGCTGTGTTGGCTAAAGCATCAAAGCAAAGTTTAAACATGTGAATTTTGTGGAGTTCACAATGGGATATTATTGAACAGTTTCTGTTAAGTTCAAATTAGCTTAAGTTTCTTTCCAGGTCTTCAAATATGCAGAATTTGCTAGAGAGAATTAGAGGAGGAAAAGAAAAAAGCCCAAACAACTGAACATTTGAAAGAGACACTGTTAAGGCAATAGTTTCTAAAATTATTATTGTCAGATCATGTTTCAGAAGATTTTTGCTAGATATAAATACCATCTCTATTACATGTGTAGTATTTTTAGTATTTTCTTATAAAATGTTACGTTATCCTAATCATGATTATTAGGTAATGAGGTTTATTTTATCTTAAGATCTTCTAATACACATTAAAAATAGGTAATTAGTAAAAGAAATTTCATACATTTGATACTTAAATCCATTTTGTATAGTATGAATTGTGACTCCCAATTAAATAGAGGGTAAGTTAACAATTTTAGCTATGGAGCAGAAAATATGGTTTATGAAGTTAGGCTAGAAAATCAACAGGTCATTTAATTTCTATTCTGTTTTCATGTTTTTTTCTTTGAGTACTTGCAGAGGTGTTAATGTATTGTTTTTCTTATTTTCTAGTAGACATTTTACAAATAGACAACAAAAACAAAGCAAAAATCCATCAATGAACCTAACATCTTTTTCTTTTTTTGGGGGTCCGGTCGTGGGGCCTGAACTCTGGGCCTGGACTCTGTCCCTCAGCTCTTCAGCTCAAGGCTAGTGCTCTACCACTTGAGCCACAGTGCCACTTCCGTTTTTTTTTCCTTTTTGCTTATGTGGTACTGAGGAATTGAACCCAGGGCCTCATGCATGCAAACAAGTGCTCTACCACGGAGCTACCTTCCCAGCCCCCATTTTTTGTTTTTTTTCTATACTGAGTTTGAACTTAGGGTCTGGAACTTGATAGTAAGGTGCTCTATCATTTGTACTAACACCCCTAGCTCTTTTTGGTTTTCATTTATATTTTGGATATGATCTTGCACTTTTTGCCTGGGACTGGTCTTGAACTGTGGTCCTCTTACACTTACCTCCTCTCTAGCTGATATTACAGGCTTGCTCCATCATGCCTGGATTGTGTTTTGAAATGGAATCTCACTTTTTGCTGAGGTTTGCCTGGAATTATAGTCCTCCCAATTTCTATCTCATGAGTAGTTGGGATTATAGTTATGTGTTGTTGGGCCTGGCTATGAACTAACTTTCTATGGGAGGGCATTGTTATATTTCACAACTTCTGTTCACTAGTGTTTATAGAATATTTAAATTATTTTTGAGGTAATCGGACATACCAAAATTCCCTTGTTTCAAATGATTAGCTATTAAATAAACATATAGAGTTGTATAGTTTGACTAAATAGTCAAATTTTAGAACATTTCTTTTTTTTTTTTTTTTTTGTCTTTTCTTTTTTGGTACTGGGGATCAAACCCAGGACGTTGCACTTGCTAGGCAAGTGCTTTTGCCACTGAGCTACATCCCAGCCCAAACATTTCTAATATTACAAAAAACCTTTTGGCCAGGCACTAGTGGTTCACACCTGTAAATCTAGCTACTCAGGAGGCTGAGATCTGAGGGTCATGGTTCATAGCCAGCCTGGGCAGGAAAGTTCGTGAGACTACCCAGTAGTCACAAAAAACTAGAAGTGGAGCTGTTACTCCAAGTGTTAAGAGTGCTAGCCATGAGCATAAAAGCTCAGGGATGATGCTGAACCCCTGAGTTCAAGCCCCAGGATCTGCACATCTCCCTTCCTCCCCGCCGCATCCCCCTGCCCCAAAACAAAAGACACCTTGTACACTTGGAGTCACTCCCTGTTTCTACTCCTAGCTCTAAGCAACCACAAGTTACTAGCTGTATAGATTTTCTTTGTGTCAGCATTTTCTATAAATAGAATCATACAGTACATGTACTTCTGCATCTGGTTTTTTCCATTCACCTTAAGTTCCTCTATTGTTAAATCTTTTATTAGTAGTTTCTTTAAGGGAGTTCATTGTATGGATATATCACTTTTTGTTTATGCATTCAGTAGTACTTGCACATCTTTCTTCCCATTCCCTTTTGCTTTTATTTTCCTTTTATTGCAAGACTGGTACTCAAACTCCATACCTGATGCCTTGCTCTCTGGCTGGTGCTCTACTAACTGAGCCATATTTCTAACCACAAGGGTTGACTATTTTTTTCCCCAGTCCCAGGGTCTTGAACTCAGGGACTGAGCGCTGTCCCTGAACCTCTTTGTGCTCAAGGCTAGTGTTCTTCCACTAGAGCCACAGCCCCACTTCTGACTTTTTTGAGTAGTTTATTGAGTCTCATGGGCACTTTTCTGCCAGGGGTTGCCTTGAACCGTGATCCTCAGATCTCAGCCTCCTGATTATAGGTGTGAGCCATCGGTGCCTAGCTTTACTTGAACATTTTTAAGGAACATTCTTTTTTTTCTTTTTTTTTGGGTCTAGTCGTGGGGCCTGGGTGCTGTCCCTCAGCTCTTCAGCTCAAGGCTAGCGCTCTACCACTTGAGCCACAGCCCCACTTCTGGCTTTTTTCTTTTTGCTTATGTGGTGCTGAGGAATTGAACCCAGGGCCTCATGCATGCAAGGCAAGCGCTATACCACTGAGCCACCTTCCCAGCCCCATTAAGGAACATTCTTAATGATGAAATTGTGAAGTTTAACTTACAAAAGTAGTCCCAATATCAGACTTATTAAGGCAAATCAATAATTTAAAATGTACTTAACAAAATAAGTAATTAGAGATTGGCTTTATTCCTAAGAAGTCAGTGTTCTGTTTCTACTTTTCTTTGTATAATAGCTGAAGTCTGGGATCAGGAGTTTGACCCTGTCATGGTCATTCTTCGAACAGTTTACCGTAGAGATGTGCAGTCTGCGATGGACAGATATACGGCATTGTAAGTCCATCAAGTCAACTAGTGTCATAATGGAGTATTTTCTGTTTATATAGAAAAGTTTCAGTTACAAGACTTAGGATATATTTTGTATCTTTGAAGGGAAGATTACCTTAAAATTTAAGGTTTTTTTTTTTTTAAAAAAACCAGTTTGGCTAAGATTTATGTAAAGGTCATTTCCAAAATTTGATGTTAATATGATAAAAATAAATTTTGTGAAACATAGTCACTACATGACAGGAAAGGAAATTTAGTTGCTGTTTGATTAATAGATTTTTAGGTTTGGTTTTATTGCATTTTACTTTGGTACCAACTGAGGGGGCACAAATTTAGAAAAATAAAATTGTCTGACATTAGAGATGATGAATGTCTATAAAAAGTGTGTACAGAAGTTGAAAACTGAACAATGGATTTGAGGAAGCCTTTGCACAGCATACATTTAAGTGGCTCTGTAAACACTGTTGCCCTAATTGCTCTGCTTTTTTATTTTCAGGATGATGGTAGTGGTAGTCATTTTGAGAATATTAGTAATAATAATAATAAAATATAGAACAAATTTAATGTTCTCTTTCACTTTGTAACTAATGATTAGGATTGGGTTGAAACTTTCAATGCCTTGAAGCAGTCTTTAGTTTATGTAAACAGTTAAGAAAAGTTTTTAAAATTTTTATTACAAAGGTAATATGTAGAAGAGTTACTATTTTGTAAGTCAGGTAAAGACATTTCTTTTTGGACAATGTCACTCCTTGTAAACAGTTTTGAAGGGGAAATTTGTATTTAACAGTGCATATTTATTAGATTCTTATTACAGGTTTATCGAAAAACATAGTTTTATCTTACTTTTACTTAGAAAACTTTTCATTTAGTCTGAGCAATTTATTTCTTTTCTTTAGAGAACTGGTTCTCAGCTAGTGATGATGTTCATTTCCCAGGGAGCACTTGACATCACTGGCTTCCGGTGGATATAATGTCTGCGTCCCATAACCAGAAATTGCCTTGCCACAAATGTCATTGGTGCTAACATTGACAAACCTGGTTTAAACACATACTGACATGTAGGCACACCCTTTCTGTACTTTCTAATCAGTCTTGTATCATTAGTTGTTTAGATTTTTATGATATTTTGATTTATAACTACTTCACATAGTCAAACAAAATCATATGCCCAAAGCTGTTTTTTAAAATATGTATTTTAAGTTATTATAAAGGTGATGTACAGAGGGGTTACTGTCAGGTAATGAGTACATTTCTTTTTGAACAATGTCACCTCCTTCCTTTGCTCTCTCCCACCAGGAAGTCCAAAGCTGTTTTGTTATCAGCTTTTCCACTTTTCTCTTTTGTTCTTTGGTTTTCCTAATTCATTTTTCTCCATTTGGTTTGGGGTCACAGCACATTTAAGAATAATTTCTTACAAATATTTCTGAGGTAGTATAATGTTTCTTAGCAGTTTGAAAATATATATTTTAAGAAAACGTGTATTAAACAGTAATAATAGATGACAAATACACTCTTTAGTATTAAATTAAAGCCCTTTATGCATTTCTTTGTAAACTTATCTTTGAAATTTATGTGAAAGCTGTTAAATTTGTCTGATAGTAATTTTTTTTTTTTTTGTCGGTCATGGGTCTTGAACTCTGGGCTTGGGCGCTGTCCTTGCGCTCTTCAGCTCAAGGCGAGCACTCTACCGCTTGAGCCATAGCACCACTTCGGGTTTTCTAGTGTTTTTTATTGGAGATTAGTCTCACGAACTTTCCTGCCCTGATCCTCAGATCTTAGGATTGGAGTAGCTATGATTACAGGCGTGAGCCACCTGCGCCCGGCTTGTCTGATAGTATTTTATCTACTTAAACACCATTTCCTTGAAGAGAGTATTAGTTTCTATGAAAAACTTAAATTTGTTGAAATTTGTTCTTTATATGAAATACAGTGACTGTGCCTTTTGTGTGGCATTTCTCAATTGTTGTGTATTTGTATGAAGAGTTAACTGTTTCAATTACTATTATAGCAAAAATTAGGAAGATTCATTCCCTGAATGAATATATACTGGTGATTAGCTTTTCTTTTAGCTTTAACGAACAAAAATGTCATTATTTTTATTGATTGAGATTCCTTCTTATTTACAAAAGAAAACAGAAAAGTTTTTGAAGAGCAATAACCAAAATAGTTGGGTAAATTAAAACTGTTGTATTCTCAGACACTATAGCTTGGTGCCAGGTACTTTGTAGGCAGTAAATATTTGTTAGAATATATTTTTTTTGTGCTGAAAGTTTAAGCAGAAATAAGCTTGATTTCCCCCCTAATTTCTGGAAAAGGTCTTTCAGATCTAGTCTAGCTTCTATGAAAGTGTCTCTGTTGCTGTCACTGAAAGAAGTGATGAGGGAACAGCATAAGAAGGCCTGAAAGAGTAGAGGGGATGGTCCTGTAACCTTCTCCACTCCCAGAAAACTTTCATGGACAGCTCAGAACTTAAACCAGTCACTGAATGAAAAAAAAAACTACCCGGTTACTGTTAGATGTTAGGTATGAGGACATTGAAACCCTAGAAGCTCAGTAAAATATATTTGGTAATGGTAGTGTTGGAAGTATGGTCTAGGCTTTGTCTAAGAGACCAAATGACTTTATGTAAGTAGCTATATTGAATTCAATTGGAAAGTAAAATTTTTGTACTGTAAATTCTATTGCTTCTCATTTCTCATCTTGAAAGTTAATGGCCGCTGTCATTTCAAAATATAATTTATAAATTTGTCTATGTATCATTTTTGTCTCCAACTGGCATTGGAGGTGTTGATTTCAGTCACTTAAAATTCCTTTTTGTTGCCATATAGTATTTTATTTGCATTAGTATTCCATTAATGCTTTTGAAAAGAGTAGTTAGAATGATATATTACCTGCTATCTTGAACAAATATATAACCTTTCTTTTGTAATGTTTTATTAAGCTATTTGGGAATAGTGCTTAAAGCAAAGAAAATAATAACCAAAAATTGCTTTTCTTTGCCAAATGAATGAATAGTTGAAATAGTTCATGATGTTAGTTGTTTTGAAAATTATGATTATATAGGAATATTATTTAGTATTGTGTAGAATTTTTTTCTTTATAAAAAGAAAACAGTTACTTTTATGGCTCTCTTAGTCACAGAGGCAGCTTATTTCTCTGAGGTATAAATGCTTAATTTTAAAGACTTTTCCTTATACCTTCATACTATTTCTTTTCTATTGTTCAGTCTCTAGCTTCCGTATGGTCTAATAATGCTGGACACATATTATTAAGAGCTGATTGTTTTGGTGAAGCTTGTAGATGCTCAATTTTGGTATATGGTGAATTTATGTATGCAGTTTTATAGAGTGAGATCTTTTCATTCTATTCAGAGTTCTCAGAGAAGTACTTTCAAATATTACTCAAAAGGTAGTTTGATTGCTGTATTCTGTGAATGGAATGGAAATCAAGGCCTAGGGGTTCTGAATCAAATATCCTATAGCTTTAATCTCCTATCCTCATATCTTTAACCAGGCTTGGAGTTTTACCTTTTCTGGAGATAGTCCTCCCTTTAGAATTCTAGAGCAGAAATGGAGAGCAATTTACATTCAATTCTTATCTTAGCCTTCTACCTCCTCACCTTGCAGTTACTGTGGTCTAGGTATTATTGATTTCTTTGCCTGTTTTTAATATTTTGATGGTGCTAGTTTTGAATTGAGGGCCTCACATTTGTAAGATAGACACTCTTATCACTTGAGCCATATTTCTAGCTTCTTTTGCTTTAGGTTATTTCTACATTTCTTACTTTATACCTTGGCTGGCTAGGGATCACAGTCCTCATATTTTACAAGTAGTTGGAATTACAAGTGTGAGCATGGTATGTGGCTTGCTTGTTGAGATGGGATCTTGCTAATTCTTGCCCTGGCTGATCTCAAACTGAGATCTTTCCAATCTCTGCTTGCCAGATAGCTGGGATTATAGCAAGTGTTCCCATACGTGGCCTCTTTTTTTTTGTCAGTTGTTGGGCTTGAATTCTGAGCTGTCTCTGAGCTCTTTTGCTCAAGGATCCTGTTCTAGCACTTTAAGCCACAGCTCCATTTCCAATTTTCTGGTGATTAATTGGAAATAAGAATCTCATAGACTTTCTTGTCCTGGCTGGTTAACTGCAGTCCTCATATCTCAGCCTCCTGAGTAGCTAGGATTACAGAGGCATGTGTCACCAGTGCCTGGATAGCCTCTTTTATTTATTAAATCTCAATAGCTTTTGAGATTCTGAGTACAAAATTTACCAGATAAATGATTTTCAGATTTCTCCCATCACTCTGTGATATGGCTTTTCACTTACATTATGGTTGTTTCAGTACTGGGAATTGAACCCAAGTCATCATGTATGCTGGGCAGACATTTTACTTGAGCTTTGCCCCCAGGCCTTTTTTGTTGTTGTTGTTGTTGGTTGTGGGGCTTGAGCTCAGGGCCTTGACACTGTCCCTGAGCTTTTGTGCTCAAGGGTAGTGCTTTACCACTTTGAGCCACAGTACCACTTCCGTTTTTTGGGGGGGGGTTAATTGGAGATAAGAGGCTCAGGGACTTTCCTGTCTGGGCTGGCTTTGAACTGCAATCCTCAGATCTCAGCCTCCTGAGTAGATAGACTTATAGATGTGAACCACTGGCTTCAGGCCTTTGTTTTTGAAATAGGGTTTCCCTAATTTTATCTTGGCTGGCTTTGAGTTTGAGATCCTTCTACATCCTTCTCCCACTAGCTAAGATTTCAGGCATGTTCTACCATGACTACCTTTTAAAAAAGAATTGGCTTATATCAGTTATACAAGAGAGAAACATTTCATAGTTACATCTCTACCCATGTTTACACTGTTTCCAATTAGTCTCATCCTCCTGTATCATGTTCCCTGCCCCCTATTCTCCAATCGATAGTGTTCTTAACAGGTTTCCTTGTTCCATTTTTATAGTTGGAAATAGTCAATTTCAGCAGTATTCAGTCTTCTTTATCCTCCCCGCTACAGGTTTACCTCCCACCCATTAGTCCCTACCTACCCATAGAATGTTACACTTGGTTTCTTGTTTAACCAACTAAACAATGACATATGTTTCTTGTTTGTTGATGTATTCATATGTACATGTCCATATTATAAATGTCTTTTAGGCCTGGCTTCCATGAGAACATGATATTTTGTTTTTTGGGCTTGTCTCAAGATGTCCTCTATTTTTCTACAAATCATGTGATTTCACTATTGTTTATGGCTGTGTAATATGCCATAGAATAAATATACTACAACTTCTTTATTTATGTGTTATTGGGCACCTCAGCTGACCCCCCAGCTATTTTAAACAAGGGTTTTGATAAACATCGATATGCAGGTGTTTTTCAGGTATATTGGTATTTCTCCTTCATATATATGCTGAATAGTCATGCCTAGCTTTTAATCTTTTAGAAAATATTCATTTAAGGTTATAAATTTCTTTCCAAATACTGATTTAGCTGCATTTTTTTTTTTTTTTTGGGTCTGGCGTGGGGCCTGAACTCTGGGCCTGGGAGCTGTCCCTCAGCTCTTCAGCTCAAGGCTAGCACTCTACCACTTGAGCCACAGCACCACTTCTGGCTTTTTTCTTTTTGCTTATGTGGTGCTGAGGAATCGAACCCAGGGCCTCATGCATGCAAGGCAAGTGCTCTACCACTGAGCCACCTTCCCAGCCCATGGTTGCATTTTATAATGTTTATTATATAGTTAAGATCCTAAATTTAAGTTTTTTTTCTAAGTCTTCCTTCTCTGTCTTCCTCTCTTCTTCCCCTTCCTCTTCCCCTGTTTCATCCCATCTCCCTGTCTTTCTCTTTCCCTTTTCCTTCCTCCTCTTCTCCTCTTTCCAGCAACTTACTCACTTGCTAGGCAAGAACTGTGGCACTCATCATGCTCCTAGCCTTTTGAGACCATGATCCTCCTATTTATACCTCCTATATCACTAGGATGGCAAGTATGCCACTATGCCTGGCTTATTGGAGATACGGTTTTGCTAAATTTTTCCTAGGCTGGTCTTGAACCATGATCCTCCTGATCTCTGCCTCCCAAGTAGCTGGGATTTCAGGCATGAACCACCATTTCTGACTTTGTTAGGATTTTAATAATCTTTTAATTAAAAACCTACAGTGTTTTAGAATATTTACATGTCACTGGGTATCAATGGCTCTTACTTGTAATGCTTAGCACTCAGGAGGTTGAGATCAGAGGATTGGATTCAAAGCCTGCCTGGGCAGAAAAGTCCTCAGGACATCATCTCCAGTTAACCAGCAGAATTTAACACTGGAGACATGGCTCAAGTGGTAGAATTCAAACCATGAGCAAGCAAGCAGTGCAAGAGCTCAAGGCCCTGAGTTAAAGCCATATGTCATCACACATGAAAAGACTGTTTAGTTTTGGATTATCTTTTTTTTTTTTTTTTTGTCAGTCGTGGGGTTTGAACTCTGGGCCTGAGTGCTGTCCCTAAGCTCTTCAGCTCAAGGCGAGCACTTTACCACTTGAGCTACAGCACCACTTCCGGTTTTCTGGTGGTTTATTGGAGATAAGAGTCTCATGGACTTTCCTGCCTGGACTGGCTTTGAACAGTGATCCTCAGATCTCAGTCTCCTGAATAGCTAGGATTACAGGTGTGATCTATTGTCATCTGGCAAGAATTAGCTTTCATATCAGTTTAGTCTCTAGGTTTTGTATGAGCACCTGTGTTCTAGCAACTCATGGATTTTACAACCACTAACAGTGTAAATGCTCATTGTTAATTATGAGGGACTCTACTTTTTTAGTTCAAAGATGCATTTAAAAGATTTTATTTAGGACTGGGAAGGTGGCTCAGTGGTAAAGTGCTTGTCTTGCATGCATGAGGCCCTGGGTTCGATTCCTCAGCACCACATAGCAGAAAAAGCCAGAAGTGGTGCTGTGGCTCAAGTGGTAGACCACTGGCCTTGAGCTGAAGAGCTGAGGGACAGTGCCCAGGCCCAGAGTTCAGGCCCCACAACTGGCAAAAAAAAAAAAAAAGGATTTTATTTAATTTTTAAAAATTATCTTTAAGTAATTGTAGAAAGATGATGATGCATCTTGATCAGTGTCACCTATTCCATGGTTGTCCCCAATCGTTCCTAACCTCAAAGATTATATTTTATATTTCATTCAAAATTTTCAGTCACTGGTAGTGGGAGAATTTTTTGTTTTGGCCAGTTGTTATAAAAAATGTATTTACTGAGTAGTTCGGTTATATTCTTTTTGTTCATTTATTTTGGTTTTCATTTTTATATTCATGTGCTTTCTAGTTTTCAACTTAGTTTTTTCTACTTGTTTATTTTTTTTCAATAGAAAAGTAATGTTGCTTGTGTGCAGAGTAGCTGTATGTTTGCCATTTTAAAAGTAATTATGATTAAAAATACTACTTAGTAAAATGTGACAGAGACTTCTGTAAATCACTGTTTTAACTTTAATTTTGAGTCTATTATATAATTTTGGTTTTATATTATTTTTACAGTTTAAAACAAAGTGGAAAATTCCCTGGAAATCCTTGGCCTCCCTATAAGAAAAGGACATCACTCCATCCTAGCTATAAAGGTCTCATGAGACTTTTACACTGTAAAACTTTACACATTGTGCTATTCACTCTGCTTTACAAGGTACAGTACTAATTTGAATAGAATGGCTTAAATTAGAATTTATAATTACACTTCCCATGTAAAAGGTCTAAAGAAATAATATTATATAAAAGTACCACTTATAAAGCAAAGTGTATTAATACATTTAAGATGTATGAAGATATGTTATAATTGCATATATGTGACTTCCAAGTTGAAAATAACCACATTACTACACTATTTTTTGTAGGATATTTTTCATCTTATTCACTTTCAAATAAGGGTATTTATAGCTTCTATAGAATAAGAAGTGAAATGTGGTGGCACCATAGGTATTATAGAATGAACTAAGGGACCAAACAACCACTGATACTGCTAAATGACAAAACCAAAATGGCAGCTGTGTAGAGTGACCTCTGTTTCATATGGTTCTCTTCATTTTTTTTTCATAAGTATTGTGACACAGAGAGATTTGAGTAGGGCTCCTATGTGGCAGTATTGAAAACATTTTTTATGAACACTTTAGAAAGTAACTCAAAAGATGCTTTCTTGGGGGTGGGAAGGTGACTCAGTGGTAGAGTGCCTGCTTTGCATGCATGAAGCCCTGGGTTCAATTCCTCAGCACCACATAAGCAGAAAAAGCCGGAAGTGGTGCTGTAGCTCAAGTGGTCTAGCGCTAGCCTTGAGCTGAAGAACTGAGGGACAGCACCCAGGCCCAGAGTTCAGGCCCATGACTGACCAAAAAAAAAGATGCTTTCTTTGCTTGTGTTACATAGAAACTTTACCTGTAGAATCTTTCTCACACAAAACCGACTTACTCATTTGATTCATACCAATTTTGTACTAAGAAATTATATGAAATGTAGAATATGTGCCTGTGCATGTGTGTATATGTATGTATGTGTAGACTTAGATTTCTATGATCTAATTTGTATGAGAGATAGAAGATAAATATATCTATGTCGTATGCATAAAATAACTGCAGCATCTGTCAAATGTAGACATAATTATTGTGCAAGTTAGAACAAAGATACTGTGAAAATTAAAAACATTTCAAAAGTGAGCATATTCCAATTGATATGTACAAGAAATTTTAATTAAGGAAATACACATTAAATTTATTCAAATAGACATTTTAGTTTTTCTCCCAAGTCTTTTAAATTTCTGTACTTGTTTTCCTTTCAACTTTTCCTGTGACCAATTTTTCATTTCACTTACAAAGTTACTTTGTTTGAGATTTAAAGACCACCAGTGTTTCAAAAAAATTGTCCAGGAATGCTTTTTAAAATTACTTTCCAAGGGCTGGGAAGGTGGCTCAGTGGTAGAGCGCTTGCCTTGCATGCATGAGGCCTTGGGTTCGATTCCTCAGCACCATATAAGCAAAAAGAAAAAAGCTGGAAGTGGCGCTGTGGCTCAAGTGGTAGAGTGCTAGCCTTGAGCCGAGGAGCTGAGGGACAGCGCCCAGGCCCAGAGTTCAGGCCCCATGACCGGACCCAAAATAAACAAAAAATTACTTTCCAAGAATATTATTCAGGAAAATCACTTAAAGTGTTCTTTTCCTTCATTAGAATTTCTTTTCTTAATAAAAAGTTGTTTGTGTTCATTTTATAAATAAACATTTGAATTTTTTTCTCAGTGCTATATTTGTCTTTTAAATGCTTTATACATACATGTCTAACAAAAGGCTTTCATGAACAAAAGTCTGGTTAGTATTCTTATTATTCAGTATGAAAATTGAGTTTTGGAGGTTAACTGGTTCAAGTGGTAAAATTGAGTATGGTTTATCAATAGTAATTCATGAAAAATTGAGGAAGCCTTAACTGTAAATGACTTACCATCTTTTAAGTTACATTTCAGGTTTCAAGATTTGCTGAATTGTAAAGTAATATTTGATCAAAAAGACCAAAAAGTTTCTTTTGTTCTAAGACATAATGAAAAAATTTAAAGTTAGTTTTTTTAATGATAGTTTTTCTGACTATAGCATTTATAATAAAAGTTATTGACATTTAGTAAGTCATGACTCAGTAGTAGAGTACCTGCCTAGCAAGAGTGAAGTCTTGAATTTAAACCTCAATACCTCCAAAAACAAGGTAGGTTTTGAGAGCCTATGCTTTTCACCTATTTGCCATACAAGAGATGGATGGAAAAGCTCTCTCTGAAGTTAAATGTTAGGGTGTCAGTTGAATGAAGTCTATTTTTCAATTGTAATAGATTAGGTCCTAAGTAACTAAGTTCTCTTCTCATGCTCTCAGCAGTTTGGACAATTTCTGTGAGGATCAGCCTGCTCTCTTCTCTTTTTCTCTTATTATTTTACCTATAACTGATAGTACCACTTCCTACAGAATATTTTCTTTTCTATCATTTGGCCAGATGGCCTTTTTTCTAAAGAGGACAAGAAGTTTCTTAAAATATTTTAGGTATTTCTGATCAGTAGTTTCTCACACTATATTGAATGAATGTTTAAGGAGCCTGGAAATTCTCTAAGAGATACATAAAACTTGTATACATTATGAAATATAGATCTAAGGTCAGTATCAGACTTTCATCAGTGAAGAGACTCTATTCTAATCACTTTCATTTCTTTTTTCTTCATGTAAAACTCACATTAATATATACATTTGAACAGCCATTTCCAGTATGCTTAGGCTCAGAACTTAAATTTTACAGATAGATTCTAGGAACAGTAATGTTTCATAAAGCCTTCTTTTGCTCCCAGTTATATGCTAGGTGTTATACTAAGCACATTTGCATTTGCGCAAATTACATTTTATTTAACAAATATTTATCTAGTATCATTGTCCTCAGAAGACTCTCAGCAAATCAGGACGTTAAATATTCTTTTTACCTTATTAAGTGCTGATACATTTATATTAATTTTAGTGGGTTGTATAATAATGTGTTAATGTTTGTGAAATATGAACGTTTCTATTTGTAGGTAGTGCCTTCAAAGGACATCTGTTGTTTGGTTTTACTTTCTCTTTTCCCAAGATGTAATTTTACTTGAATTCTTGGTTTTTATGTACTTGTATTTTTTTTTAATCTGTGTTCAAATGTTTTTGGGGAAAATAATTATGAGATCTTTTTTTCCCTTTTCAAAGATTCTGATGGATCATCAAAATCTATCAGAACATGTGCTCTGCATGGTTTTATATCTGATTGAACTAGGACTTGAAAATTCTACTGGAGATGAATCAGATGAAGAAGTAAGTATTTTCTTATATTTCAGAATTTTTAGATAGGAGAAAAACCCTGTTTTTAGGTAGTTTCCAGGATTATTCATATTTACATAAGGTCTCAACAGCCAATAGAAGAGGTTTTGATCTTCAAATATATATGGTCTTATAGAGATTTCGTTCATATTGACAGTATTACTTATGGAACTTTTGAATTTGAAATTTATCATATCACAAAAATTAAGGAAAGTGATTAATGCATTTTTTACTGTTAAAATAAGAACACTGCTGCTAAATAATGATTAAGATAATAGTGTAGAAATTGTATTACTTTCATTGGTGCCTTTTTTAGTAACACATTCTTTCTGAAAACATTTTAAAGTAATGGAATAAATGTTATGGGAGAATGCTTACTTAAGAATACAAGTTGTTGCTGGGTGCTGGTGGCTCATGCCTGTCTGTAATCCTAGCTATTCAGGAGGCTGAGATCTGAGGATCAGAGTTCGAAGCCCTCCAAGGCAGAAAAGTCCCTGAGATTCTTATCTCCAATAAACTACTCAGAAAAAGCTGGAAGTGATGCTGTGGCTTAATTGGTAGAGTGCTAGCCTTGAGCACAAAGAGGCTCAGGGATAGTGCCCAGACTCTGAGTCTAAGCTCCAGGACTGTCAAAGCAAACAAAAAACCCCAAAAAAACCTCACACAAGTTGCTGATGTACTTCTGGGCTTTATAAGTGTTATTTTCAAAAAAGCACTTGTTACAAATTAGTTTTACAAGTGTAAGTTTCTTCTCATCCCCAAACACAAAGTGTAAAGGGAAAATAGGCAGTACTTTTTAGTCTATGTTGAGTCAACATATATTCTTTCTTAGATAGTAAAAGCTCATTAAGATTCCTTCAAGATTTGGAGCCAGCCTATGTAGATATATCCTAGATACTTTTTTTCTCTCTCTCTCTTTTTTCCCCTGTTCCGGCACTGGGGTTGAACTCAGAGCTTCAGGCTCTTACTTTTTTTGTTCATAGCTGGTGCTGTACCACTTGAACCTCACTTCCATTTCCAGCTTTTTGCTAGTTAATTGGAGATAAAAATCTCACAGATTTCTGGCAAATCTGGCTTTGAACTGTGATCCTCAGATCTTAGCCTCCTGATTAGGTAGTGTTACAGGTATGAGCCACCAGTGCCTTCTCCAATAGACTCTTTATTTTTAATTAACTTGAAAAAAGTTGGAAGTTGGGACATGTCCAAGTGGTAGAGAACCACCCATAAGTAAAAAATCTGAGCAAGTATAAGAGGCCATCAGGCTTCAGTGTCAGCACCAAAAAAAAAATTTCTTCAAGACCAAATCTTATTTGTAGTTGATTTTTTTCCGACTTACTTTGTTCATTAATTTGAAGTGGCACTATTTAACCGTGATTATTACTAATGGCCAGTGGTATCTTGTAATGTCCAGTATTTCCAGATTGAAAATGGTATTTTTCATGAGTATGCTAATTCCAGAGAATTTAGCTATAAAACCTATTTCTTTATTTTTGAATTTGGTTATTTTATCCATTTTATAATTAATGGGTGAGACTATTTAGGACTATGGCAGGCTTGTTAATTTTCCATTGAACCTCAGGCCTGATAGGACAAACTTTCATATTTATTTATTTTTTAAATGTTTTAGGTGACAGTAGGGGGACCAGAACGTTGTCATGACAGTTGGTTCCCTGGCAGTAACTTAGTATCAAATATGCGACACTTTATAAACTATGTTAGAGTGAGAGTTCCAGACACTGCTCCCGAAGTGAAGAGAGACTCACCTGCAACTACTAGCTCTGAGAGCTTGGGTTCTCTACAAGTAAGTACAAAAGTAAGGGAAGAGGAAAAAAATAAAAAGGAAAACCATCATGTTTAGATACATTGTTTATATCACTATATGATACCTAAAAGAAAAAAAATGTGATTATGGATAACTAAAAACTGTCTTTTATTTCCTCTGATATATCTAAGCAACTTCTGCCTCACCAGTCTTTATCCTTTAATCTGTCAGAGTTCACGACGGCCTAGAGTTCTTCAAAGAGAGGTAGATGTGTATGATGTTTGCATTAATGCAATATGGCATTAACTGAAACTGGGAAAAACACTTTGAAGTATTGTGTGTGTGTGTGTGTGCATTTGATTAATGTTGTTAAAATAAGTTTCCTTATTTTCAGTTTTTTTATGTCAATGAGATGATTTAAGTTTAATTTTAAAAGAAAGTTTATATTATTGACCCCCAAAATAACACTGAGAATTTAATAGTGTATTTTTCTTACTAGTGTTAGAGATATTTTATAGGCAGAACATTTGGTCTTGTAATAGTATTACTAACATCTTATAAATGATTTCCTAAATCAATAATTTAATTGCTGGCAGCATGCCCATTTAAAAAAGGTTGTTTTTTTTTGCTTATATGGCAATTAATTAACTTTTATACAGTAAGTGTATAAAAACTTAGGCTAGTGTTTTTAGACTTATTTTGTGAAATAGCTCTCTCATTGCATGTAGCTTAATTTTAAAAAGTAGAAATGAAAATCTTGAATTGACATGCTAAATAATTACATGTAAGCAGCTTTAATTTCTACAAACTAGATTTTTGTGAGTAGACATAATTGAATTGACATTTCTCATAATACACTCTATATGTAGAGAAGTTTTTTTAAAAATGTAATTTGGTTGCGAATATAGTAAAGAGTTTTAATTAATAGCCTGCAGCTTTTGTCAGAGGTAGCTTTTACCCCTAATGCTATCCTGTATTAAAATAAACAACAACAAATGAAATACATTAAACTGACTCATATTAAGATGATTTCTAAAAGCTCTAATGCAGTTAAACTGTTTCATAGCAAAAAAACTGTTTGTAAGATAAATTATTGAGAAAAATAATTAAAACTACTTACATAACAAATCAGTGATATTCAAACAAATATATTTGCTATTTTATCCATACATTTCAATTTAATAACTGTTTGTTAGAAGTAATTTTAAACTTTTTTTTTGCCATGGAATTCTGGGCCTGGGCATGTCCCTGAGCTTTTGTTTGCTCAAGGTTCTATCACTTGACCTATAGTGCTGCTTCTGTTTTTTTCTGTGATTAATTGGAGATAAGAGTCTCAGGGATTTTCCTGCCTGGGCTGGCTTCGAACCACAGTCCTCAGATCTCAGCCTCCTGAGTAGTGAGGATTAAATGTGTGAGCCACCAATACCGGGCAATTTTAAACTTTTGACGTTATTTAAGAGAAATTAATTACCAGTTCAGATTCATTAACATAAACATTTAAGAAATTAGTCTGTTTTCTTAACTGGAAACTGGCAGTCTTTTAGAAATTAGTAAAGGGTTTTCATAGTTTTCTTGATGACTAGTAACTACTACAGGTATTCTCTTTTAAACTGAGGAGAAATTTATTTTATGATTTCCCTTTCACATGGCTAGAAGTATTGCTTACACTTTGTATTTTTTCTCTGGTAGAAAAGTGCAGGGGGTTTAGAAAGAGATTTTATTGCTGATAGTCTCCTTTTCCTTATTACTTTTTCCAGATTGAGTGGGCTAAGTCTGTTTGAGAAAGAGAAGTGAAGGGACAGATTAATTTGAAGAGCAAATCTATTGAATAAACCTTTGGGTGAAACTTTGAGATTCCCTTTGCAAAATTTAGTGACATGTATGTTTAGTTTTAGAATTTATATTGAATAACTTTCTCTCTCTCTCTCTCTCTCCTCTTTCTCTCTCTCATTGTCTCCCTCTCCTTTCTCATTTTTTTCACTGGTAGAATTCTGGCACAGCTCAAGTTTTCAGCTTAGTAGCAGAACGTAGAAAGAAATTTCAGGAGATTATCAATCGCAGTAGCAGTGAAGCAAATCAGGTGGTTCGTCCCAAAACTTCAAATAAATGGTCTGCTCCTGGTTCAACTCCCCAGTTAACAACAGCCATTTTGGAAATAAAGGAAAGCATATTGTCTTTGTTAATTAAACTTCACCACAAACTCTCAGGAAAACAGAACTCCTACTATCCTCCTTGGCTTGATGACATAGAGATTTTAATCCAACCGGAATTTCCTAAATACAGTCATGGAGATGGTATAACTGCAGTAGAAAGAATTTTGCTGAAAGCTGCATTGCAAAGCAGAATGAATAAACGCATCATTGAAGAGATATGTAGAAAAGTAACACCTCCTGTACCACCCAAAAAAATAACTGCAGCAGAGAAGAAAACTCTGGACAAGGAGGAAAGGTAATTTTAAAAAGAGTTTTAAAAATTCATAGTACAGTTGAAGATTTGATTTGTTTCCTGTTTTGGTCATCTAAGCATAATCAGCTAGATATTTTAGCAGCAATAATCATGACTGATTAGATTATATGTATTATAAATGGAATTGAATAGGTTGCTTAAACATGTATTATGATGAGTTCCTTTAAACTTGTAGGCTTCTTCAGAAAAAATTACTCCCATTATTATTACTGTAGGGGACTTTATAATTTTGTTATTTAAACAAAATGATCAACTCAACTTTAAGGTAAAATAGAAAAAGAAATATTTAAAATATTTCCTAAGATAACTCCATTTTTAAAATTTCTTTAAAAATCTTTATTAATTATATGATTACTAATTATTTAAAAGGAGTGTTTTTAGACATTCCCTTACTTATGCTACTATCTTTTGGACTTTTGAGTTGCTTCTAATTTGTCGATAAATGCTCAAACTTATAAACCTTTCTACTCATCTTTGACTTTCATTCTTTGAATGTTTATTTTGTGAGTGGGATTTTTATGTCATTGCTATAACATGGTATGACTCTTAGAACACATTGCTTGCTCAGAGTTACATTAGAATTATAGTGTTGTACATTGTCACTATTTTCCAGTAGCTTTGTTGCCATTGTGTATCTTTGCTAGTCATAAATGACCTAGTTGTCAATCCTTTGGGTTTAGTTTATAAAACAATAATATACCTTCTAATTTATGTACATAATAAAAGACAAGAATATTAATTTTTTTCCAATGAGATTCAAGACTGTTATTGCTAATTCCTCTAAGGTTATACATAATATTAGTTGTTTAAATTTCTCTTAAAGCTGTCTCCATAAGCAACAATTATATGGTAAAGGTACATGCTTGCCCTGTGTAGAATCTAAAGAAAGCATCTTAATATTGTTGTAAGAGATGTTGACTTTTGACTTAGAGTCATATAAGCGAAACCATATATCTTCTTTTTTTGGTGGGGGCGGTGAGGGAAAGCTGATCCTAGAGCTTGAATTCAGAAGTTGGGTGCTGCCCCTGAACTTTTGCACTCTTACCATTTGAGTCACAACTCTACTTCTGGCTTTTTGGTGGTTAATTGGGGATAGAGTCTTACACATTTCACTTTCCTATCAGGGCTAGCTTTGAACCATGATCCTTAGATCTCAGCCTCCTGAGTAGCGAGCCACTGGTGCCCCGCCATAAATAATTTTTAACATGTTGTCTAGATGACTATTGTGAGCGGTATGAGTAATACATTATTTAATAGTTTGAAGTATATTTTAGAGTATTTCCTGAAGTAATTTTATCTTCTTATAAATAAACACAAGCAGTAATTGGTTGAACGATTGGTGGAAGCCAACCTAAAGTGGATTTTTTCTATGATCTCCCCATTCATTGAACACCAGCCAGGCTCTTTAGACATGGGATGTTAGAGCTATGCTTAATGATAGACTCCCTGACCTTGAACATACCTTAGATAGTTGTAATAATAACAACTTAAATGTCTTTACCTTCAGCATAATAATTGAAAAGTAATAAGACATTTTTAGTACTCAAGTGCCAGACATTTATATGAGAAACCTAATCTTAGGATAAAAACAAATATGATTATTTTTACCTTTAGATTTTGTTTGTATCTAAACATTGTACCTTAAAAAAAGCACATAATTTATTGCTAATTATTCCTTTAATTAACTTTAGCTCCTTGGTGAAAAAGACTATTTTTATTCTTGTTGCCATCTGACATATACTAGTAAACTTAATAAGTTATTGTTTCACACTTTAAAAATAAATATTGGATTTTATTTCACTTATTAAAAGAGGAGTTTGAAACCTTTAGGAAGCTTTAGAACCTTTTCAATGATAGTCATATCCTTGAACTATTGACGATATGTATAAGAAATTGAACAAAGTATAAAAATAATTTGTTTTCCATTGTTTAGACTTTCCTATATTATTTCCTATTGAAAGAAAAGATTAGTTTTAAGCATATCTGGCAGTTACAACTTTATTTCTGTTTAATCTAGGCGACAGAAGGCTAGAGAGAGGCAGCAGAAATTGCTTGCAGAGTTTGCTTCACGACAGAAAAGCTTTATGGAAACTGCAATGGATGTTGGTAAGTCAAAAAGTTTTTAGTCTATAAGTACAATTATAGTTATTACTGTAGGGATAGTGAAATTTTGTCTTTCACCAATGTTAAACATTATGGACAGATTATTTCATGTCTTTATATGAGGACTAGAGCAATGAGGATTAGGCTTGGAGATGTGGCTTACTGATAAAGAGCATTTCCTTGGCAAGCCTGAGTACCAAAAAACAAAAGAAAGAGATCAGATTTTTTTAAAAATAAAATTTTATTGTTAAGGTGGTGTACAGAGGGGTTACAGTTATGTAAATTAAGTAATGACTATATTTCTTTTTGAACAGAGTCTTTCATTTTCTCCCAGTTTTTTCCCCTCCCTATCCCCCTTCCTTGCAAGTCATATGGTTCATTTCTAAAAACATAGTGTGTAGACACTACACATCAGTGACACTGCTGAATTTGTTCATCCTTTGTCTCCTATTTCTGTGCTTCTCCTTCCCCTTCCCAAATCAGATAACCTTATATACAAGACAAAGGGTACCGAAATGAAAAACAGTGACAAAAGGGAATAAACTGAAGGAAAGAAAGAAAAAAAAGTAACTGCAAATAGTACAATAAAAAACCTCTTGCTTGCAGTTCTTGGAGTTCATTGTGATAAGCATCATTTTATTTGATCTTATGAGCATAACTATTGAGCCTTTTTGATCCTCTTCTAAAGGAGACCTCGTGGCTCATTAGTCTGACTCAAGATCAGATCTTTATTATAGAAAGTCCATTCTGTTATTGAGTAGCAAGGTTTCTTAGGAAGAGCTTCCTGATGATAGCAATATAGTATTCCTTACTCTCTTTTTTTCTATTAAAAACAATTTATTATTTTTTGAGGTTTATTAATACATACTTGCTTACTCATTTTGACCTTTTTTGTGACATAATAGTTTTTAAATCCTTTAGTGGTTCCTTTTTCTGCTACACCTTCAGTAGTTCTAAAAATCAGATGGACTTTGGATTTGTTCTCATTTTTACAGTGACATGGAATACTGTTTTCTTGTGAGACAGTACATTGGTTATGAATAACTTAAAAATGTGTAATTATCAAAGTATCTTGTTTTTATCAATTAATGGACCTTACTGTGACATTTTCTTTTTCTTTTTTCCTTTTTTTGTCGGTCGTGGGGCTTGCACTCAGGATCTTGTTGCTGTCTCTAAGCTCTTTTGCTCAAGGCTAGTCCTCTATTACTTTGAGCCACAGCTCCACTTCAATTTTTGAGTGGTAAATTGGAGACTAAGAGTCTGGAACTTTTATGTTCAGGCTGGCTTTGAATCATGATCCTCAGATCTCAGCCTCCTGAGTAGGATTGTAGGTGTGAGAGTGCCAATGCTGGTGCCTGACTATTGTGACATTAGCATACATGCATATACTGGCTTCCCTCCCTGTCTTTTCCTACTCTCTGGAGATTGAACTCAATCTAAAGGGTCTCTGAATGGCAAATATTTACCATTTGAGTCACATACCTGATGCTTTTGTTGTTAATTTGCTTTGCAAATTGGTTTGGGCTGGCCTCAGACAGCAATCTTTCTCCTCCTGAGTAGCTGGATTATAGTAGAGTACCATCATGTTTGCTACAATACTGTTTTTTTTTTTTTTTCTGTGCCTGGCTTATAGCTCTGTAATATTTTTTTTTTTTTGTTGTTGTTGTTGGTTATGGGGCTTGAATTCTGGGCCTGGGTGCTGTCCCTCAGCTCTTCAGCTCAAGGCTAGCACTCTACCCCCTTGAGCCATAGCATCACTCATTTTAGAGTGCTTTATTGGAGATAAGAGTCTCATGGACTTTCCTGCCTGGGCTGGCTTTGAACTGCGATCCTCAGATCTCAGCCTCCTGAGTAGCTAGGATTACAGGTGTGAGCCACCAGCGCCTGGCTTGTAATGTATTTTTAAAAATAATATTTTATTGTAAAGGTTATGTACAGAGGGGTTAGTGTTATATAAGGTAATGAGTACATTTCTTGTCTAATTGTGTTACTCCCTCCCTCATTTTCTCCCACTTTCCCCACCCCAAATCCTCTTCCCCCAAGTTGTAAAGTTCCAACATAGTGTCTTGTGAGTATGGCTGTTGAATTAGTTCACCCTTTGTCCTTTGTCTCACCATTTTATTATTCCCCTTCCTGAAAGTATCCATCCTGGCCATCCCAGGGGACCACGCGGAGGTAGGCATGCATAGGAGAAAGACTATTGTAAGGTTTATTAGAGGGACCCCAAAGCTGTCCCAGTAGAGGAAGCAATATGGAGTCTGCCCCTATCAGGTGGTATCTCTGGGGCTAGTGGTGAGGTACTCTGCAATGAGCAGGTAGGTTGGGGTGGAGGGTAGAAGTGGCCAGCCATCTTGGTGGGAACTCTAAGGCAGGGAGGAGCTCAGGTCTGGGTGGAGCTGGGGCTACATGCTACCCTGGGAGAGTTAGTGCGAGTGGCTCAGGAACTGAGCTGGGAAGAATCCCTACACTTCCTTTCCCCAAATCAGATAAACGTATATACAAGACACATGCTACCAAAATCAAAAGCAGTGACAATGGCTAAACCAAAGGAAAAAGAATGAAAGAAAAAAAATGAAATAACAGCACCTTAAAAGAGTGAGAACCTCTTGTTTCCGTATCTTGGAGTTCATTTTGATTAGCATCATTTTATATCTAAGGATTGCGGTTCAATGCCAGCCTGGGCAGGAAATTCCTCATGAGACTCTTTTCTCCAACTAACCACCAGAAAACCAGAGTAATTTTCATTTGAATCTTAGCTCAGATCTCAGTCTTCTGAGTGGCCAGGGTTACAGGCATGAGCCACTAGTGCCTGGAATAATCATTCTAATAAATATTAGATAGATGTATTTATCTGCATGAAATTTTCATAATAGCATTAAAATTTGACATATTTTCTTTTTTCTTTCTTTTTTTGTTTGTTGCTGGTTGTGGGGCTTGAACTCTGGGCTTGGGCACTGTCCCTCAGCTCTTCAGCTCAAGGGTAGTGCTCTACCACTTGAACTACAGTATCATTTCAAGTTTTCTGGTGGATAATTGGAGATAAGAGTCTCATGGACTTTCCTGCCTGGGCTGACTTTGAACTTTGAGCCTCAGATCTCAGCCTCCTGAGTATCTAGGATTACAGGTGTGAGCCACTGGCGCCTGGCCCAAAATTTGACATATTTTCTACTTCTACATATTTGCTTAGTTATATATACTCTTCCTTTCCCTGGCAATACAAGGGTTTGTAGAACCATTCTCAAGTGGCTCTCTTTATGTCCTGGCCAATATGGACTATGACTCTCCTAGTAGCTGAAATGCCAGGCATACACTATGATTCTAGACATTAATTGAGATAGAGGGGTCTCCCCTCTGTTTTATTTATTTGTTTTTCTTTTGCCTGGGCTGGTGTAGAGCAATAATTCCCTCATTTTTGCCTCCTAAGTAGCTAGGATAACAGGCTTGAGCTATTGTACTTAAATGTCTCGCAATGTACTTCTGCTTCCTATATCTTCTCATTTTCCTGTACTCATTTCTTTGCCAGTAAGCAGCAGCACTGATATTCATGAGTTTCCGCAAATGATATCATGATTTCTGCAAATCATTACTGTCGCAACATTTTATTTCTTCTTGTTAATGCCATATCACAGAAAGTTATTTTTTGCAATAGTCCTACGTTATTGATATGTTAATTGTAATATATAATCTTTCCTTTAATAAGCAAATAGGGAACTTCTTTTCTGAGACATAATTTAAAAATAAAATTGGGAGCTCCTATTACATGCTATCATTTCTTCCTATGAGTTGACATCATATTATAAATTTTCTTAGATGCCTTCCTTGTCTTTCCTTAAAATGTTATTTAAAATATTTTCTTCTTTTAATACAAGTGTCTTGTTTTGATATCAATTTTATATGTGAATGATCAGTAGAGATATGTTTAATCATATATTATTTAAAGTTTTTATTGTATCAACTCAATATTTTTTCATGTGTCAGTCCTGGGGCTTGAATTCAGGGCCTGGGTGCTGTACTTTGAGAAATCTTTACTCAAAGCTCCACTTACTAGAGAATCAACTCTTTTAACATTGTTTTTGGTTTAACTTTATCTGATTAAACATGTTACTTGAACAAGACTTTTAAAATAGTTTTATTACTATGTGCCTTTATTAATATTGAAGTTAAAATTATTTGAAGTGATTTTTTGAGGGGGGGGTATCTTTAACAAAGAAGGATTTTGCTTCTTTAGGAATTAAGAGTAAAAATTTTTTCCCCCTCAGATTCTCCTGATAATGATATTCCTATGGAGATCACTACTGCAGAACCACAAGTTTCTGAGGTAGTATATGACTGTGTTATTTGTGGACAGAGTGGCCCTTCTTCTGAAGACCGACCTACAGGATTGGTTGTACTGTTACAAGCATCTTCAGGTAATCTCAGGTCATCTTTCAATGGGAATATTTGAGAGGGATAGTCTATATATAACAGATGAGTAAGTATCCATGTTAATTGAATGTTGTAAATTTTTTCTTGTTATAGTTATTAGATCAAAGTAGCAAAAATTCCTTATTTAGTTTATCTTATTCTCTGGAACATGAGTATTGGAAAAAGGCTTTTGGCTATAGCTAAAGAGATCCTGTTATATATTACATAGGTTTTTGTTTTGTTCTTGTTTTTTTTGGGTCCGGTCGTGGGGCCTGAACTCTGGGCCTGGGCGCTGTCCCTCAGCTCTTCAGCTCAAGGCTAGCGCTCTACCACTTGAGCCACAGTGCCACTTCCGGCTTTTTTTCTTTTTGGTTATGTGGTGCTGAGGAATCGAACCCAGGGCCTCATGCATGCAAAGCAAGCGCTCTACCACTGAGCCACCTTCCCAGCCCCCCTTTTTTTTTCTTAAAGTGTAATGGCATATTACCAGTTCTAGGTGACAATTAAAGGAGTTCAGCTTTCTTTGTAATTTAATGGTTTTTAAAATCCAGAAGCTTCTTTTTTGTTATTTTTATTTTATTTTTTGATAGTACTAAGGCTTGAATTCACAGGCTTGGACTTGCTAGGCAGGAGGTCTACCACTTAAACTATACTTCAAATCTCTTGGAAACTTCTTAAATCCATAAATATTACAGTTTAAATGTTTTAATTATGTATTTTGTTTTCAGTCAGTTTGGACTTTATTTATGGAGCTACTAAAAACAGTAATCCTTAAAATAGTGTGTCTATTGATATCGTTCTGTCATTGAGAAAATAAAAATTTATCTGAGTGGATTTAATCTTTTTTATTTTGGGTTATCTTATGATTGCCACTTATAGCTTTGTGCTTGCTAGGCAGGCACTCTACCACTTGAGCAATGCTTTCAGGCCTATTTGCTTTTCTTATTTTGCTTTATCTCATGTTTTGGTTGGATCAGCCTGGACCATGGTCCTTCTATTCACACTTCCTGTATAACTAGTATAAAAGACATGTTTCTTTGCCCTTTGCTTTTTATTAGTTCAGATAAAGGGAGGGTATCTTTCAAACTTTTTGCCTGGGCTGTCTTTGAACTCAGATCCCCCAGGTAACTAGGATTACAGGTGTGAATCACTAAGTATACTTTCCTTTTTTTTGGTTTTAAAGCAGGAGTTTACATGGAGAAATTAAATCTTGGAAGAACTGAATATATTTTTAAATGAAATATCAAGGCAAGGACAAACATTCAGATAAAAACATAAAAGGGAAAGTGTGGAGGGTGGAATGGAGCTGTAAAGGAGCAAGATTTTTTATGTTATTGAAAATAACTGTTCATTCAAACTTGACTGCTACAAAATACAAGATTTGTAATTCCTAGGGTAACCAGTAAAGCAAAACAAAGTAAAACAAAAATAAGAGCAACAGTCCCAACAAAGACCAAGGTAAAAAACAAAAAAAGTCCATTAAAAAAAAGAATTGAGCTAAGTACCAGTGGCTCATACCTGTAATTCTAGCTACTTAGGAGGTTGAGATCTGAGGAACAAGTTTCAGAGCCAGCTCTGGAAGAGTCTGTGAGAATCTTATCTCCAGTTAACCACCAGAAAGGCCAGAAGTGGGAGTGATAGCTCAAGTGGTAAGTGCTTGCCTTGAGCACAAAAGCTGAGGGACAGCACCCAGGTCCTGAGCTCAAGCCCCAGAACTGTCACCCTCCCCCACAAAAAAAAAATTGAGAGGGAAATAAACATGGTACATTGGAAAATTTAGTTAATTGCAAAAGAAGACAGTAATGGATGATAATGGATGAATTAAGGAACACACAGGAAGCAAGTACCAAAATGACAGAATTAAATAATTAATTCAAGTAATTCCTTGAAATTTAATGTATTGAGTTGTCTATGGAAAAAGCAGAGACTTAACAGAGTAGAGAAAAATGTGATCATACTATATGCTATGTACAAGAAATTAACTTTAGATCTAAAAGTGCAACCTCTTGCAAAGATTGACTATGATATTCTATGTGACAAAAACCCAGAGAAAGCTAGAGTAGCTATACTAATATCAGTTAAACTTTTGATTAAAAATTGTTATAAGAGATCAAGCAAACTTTGCATATTGATAAATGGGTCAAATTGTTGAGAAGATATACTACATATAAGCCTATGTGAGCCAAATATGTGAAGCAAAAATTGACAGTGTTGCAGGGAGTAGAGTAATAGATCCACAGTAATAGTTGGAGACTTAACTGTATAGAACAGACAAATGATCAACATGGAAATGGAACAATTGAGCAACACAGATTTATGTAGAAAGTCGAGTAACAGAAGCATAGGTATTTTTGTCAATTACAAATGGAACATTCTCCCAGACAGACAATATGTTAGGCCATAAAATAGTCTTAATAAAGAAGTTTTAGATCATTCATTGACTACAGTAGAATAGGAAGAATACAATAGGAAAACCAGAAAATTCATAAATATGTGAAATGGGATAACATTCTTTTGTTAAATACCAGTGGGCACAAGAATACAAGTAAATTAAAACTACTTAGCTATAAAGGAAATACAGCATACTAAAAATAAACAAGGAAAATTAATAGCTACTAATGTTTACATTAAAGAGGCTCTCATATCAATAAACTTAACTTTACATTTTAAGGAGCTAAAAGGAAGCTAGTTAGTTTGGTGTAAGTCTGTAACCCCTGCTACTCAGGTAGCAGAGGCAGGATGATCACCACTTTAAGGTTCGCTTGAGTAAAGTTAGAGACCTTTTCTCAAAATCAAAATTTAAGCAAAAGGGCTGGGGATGTGGCTCAAGTAACAAGACCCTGGGTCCTCAAATAAAAATGAGGGGAGTAGACAAGGGAGTCTTAATCTCAAAGAGGAAATGGAATAATAAAGATTAAAACATAAACAGTACAATTAATAAAACCAAAGGTTGGTGTCTTGAAAATATGAATAGAAATTACAAACTTTAAGCTAAACTAGAAAATGAAAGTGGGACAGTATTGTAGACCTTACAGAAATGAAAAAGTAAACTATGAACAGTTTTTGTTGAAAATTTAGATGAACTAGATAAAATAATTGTTTTTCTAGAAACTTATAAACTGCCAAAGAAGAAATAGGATATAAGACACTGCTACAACAGGCAAAGAGATTGAATCAGGATAAAAACAACAAAAAGTCTCAGGGAAGAAAAGTTCAGGATCAGATAGCTTCATGGATGAAATCTATTGTTATTTAAAGATTTAGCACTGCTTTTTCTCAAATTGGTCCAAAAAATTGCACTTACCAAAGCCTTCTATGAGGGTAGTATTATCTGATACCGAAGCCAGAGAATGACCAGGATCTTAAGAACTTGCTGTGTTGGCACATGCCTATAGTCCCAACTACTCAGGAGGTGGAGGTGGGAAGATCATAGTTGGAGGCTAGGTTAGTCTGGTGGACAAAAACACAAGAACCTTTGAAGAATAACAATTGTCCAGAACAAGGACATTGATTTAAATAATTACAGAATTATAAATCAATAAATTTAATATTGATAACATCTAATAATCTGGCTATATTAAGATTGTTCCAATTGTACAAATAATTGGTTTTGTGCATTTTATTTGACAAATAATAATTGCATATATTTGTGGAGTAAATTGTGATGTTTTGATATATATGCAAATTGCAGAATGAGTAAATTGAGCTAATCAACATGAATGGTGAGAACCAGCAATATTTTTTGTAACAGGTATTTCGTTTCTTGATTCTAGATGCATAAAGGTCATTTGTTACTTTTAGTTGTCATTTCTTTTGGTCTTTCTTTTTGGTCCTTTACTTTGTTCATTTGTTCATGTTGATCCTGGGGTTTGACATGGTCAGGGTGCTGTCCCTGACCTTTCTTTCACCAAGGCTGCTCTACCACTTTCAGCCACAGCTCCACTTCAGCTTTTTTGGTAGTTAATAGGAGATTATAGTGTCATAGATTTTCCTGTCTTGGCTGACCTCAGATCTGAGGGTCTTGAGTAGTTAGAATTACAGGTGTGAGTCACTGGTGCCCAGCTTGGGCTTATTTGGTTTAGGCCAGTCTCTCAAGGCTCTTTTTAAGCTTTAAAGAGCTCAGGTTGGTTGTCCTATATAAAGTATTTGAACATCTAAATTTATATTTATCTTATTAAATTCATTGACAATTTTTGACAGTTGTTACTTAGCTATGTTCTTTTCCATAGTACCACATTAGGAGCCTGATATATATTAGTTTGTTCCATACTTTTGTTTATTTATTTGCTCATCATGGGGCTTGAACTCTGTGCCTGGGTGATACCCCTGAGCTGTTCAGCTCAAGGCTAGTGCTTTACCACTTGAGACACAGCGCCACTTCTGGTTTTCTGATGGTTAATTGGAAATAAGAGTCTCATGGATTTTTCCTGCCTGCTGGCTTTGAACCTACATCCTCAGATCTCAGCCTCCTGAGTAGGTAGGATTACAGGAATGAGCCACCAGTGCCTGGCTTAGTTTGTCACATTCTTGTTGATGTTAGTCAAGTTTGATCACTTCAGTAATTGGATAGATAATTCTATTATTATTATTCTATATGATGCTCAATCTGAACTTCCCCAGGTTTCCTGAAACCATCTTCTCAGTGTTTGAACATTTCCTTGGTTTTATCATACCTTAAGCTATTCTCCAACTCTGGACTCATCTTTTTCTCTAAGGATCTCTGCTTCTTTTTTTGTGAAAACAGCCTATTTAGAAATGATGTATGTTGATATTGGGAGAGTCATAGCTTTTGGACTTCTTATTGATCACAGACTTAGAAAATCACGTATCCATCATGAGTTTAAACTCATATTTAAGAGTTTTTTTAAAAAAATGTAAACATTGATATGTTTGGGACTTCACTTTCTTTATATGTTGTTATTTAATGAGTTTTTTGCCTCTGCTGTTAATATAGTTTTGGGGCAGTGCCGTGACAATGTTGAGCCAAAAAAGCTGCCAATTTCTGAAGAGGAGCAGATTTATCCTTGGGACACATGTGCAGCAGTTCATGATGTGAGGCTTTCATTATTGCAGCGTTATTTTAAAGATGTAAGTGCTTTTTTTAATTGAATAGTATTTTTTACTACTATATTGATAGTGGTTTTCCTTTAGAGTTTTGTTTCATATTATTTTCTCTTACCAAAATGAAATCCTGACTTCAAATCTGGTAGCTTAATAGGAAAAGAATCTTAGGTGGATAGTAGTAAAATAGACATCTGTTAATAATTTGAAACCATGTATATGATAAATGTTTTCAATGCTGTTTATTGTGAAGTATTCATAATTCATTAAATAATAAGATTAGCATAAAATATTTAGATGGTATATGAATACTTTATGAAGATTTTTGTTTCCTTTTACTTTCATGTAAAAATAGACAATAGAATTTCATACTTCCAAAGTGTAAAGAAGGCATAGATTTTTCTTCTCTGAATACTTGTGAGCTTTGTAGATTTTTTTTCCATCTCTGTGTATCTGGAAGCTCTAGCACCCAGAACTATCTCAAAGCTTTGAAGATAAGCTCATTTGTTTAATAACACCAGTATTAACTTCTTTTTAAAAATTGCAATATGTTTCAGTGATAGAGTACCTACGCTGAATTCAAATGATAAACTGCCAAAAGCAGAAAAAAAAGAAAATTTCTGCATGTAGTGGGAATGTAGCAAGTATGAGGAAATGAGTTTGAATTTCATCATTGAAAAGCATAAAGATCACTCCATTAATTTTGATATTTTCAAATAGGGTGAAGTTTTTTTTTAATATAATAACAGCTTAAAATAAGAATATTTTGGGGGCTGGGAAGGTGGCTCAGTGGTAGAGCGCTTGCCTTGCATGCCTGAGGCCCTGGGTTCGATTCCCCAGCACCACATAAGCAAAAAGAAAAAAAGCTGGAAGTGGTGCTGTGGCTCAAGTGGTAGAGCACTAGCCTTGAGTTGAAGAGCTGAGGGACAGTGCCCAGGCCCAGAGTTCAGGCCCCACGACCGGACCCCCCCCAAAAAAAAAAAAGAATATTTTGGTTTTTTTTTTTTTGGCTTGAAGTTTGCTAGGTTTTTTGTTTTTGTTTTTGGTTTTTTTTTGGTTGTGGGGGCTGAACTCTGGGCCTGGGCGCTGTATAGCTTTTTAGCTCAAGGTAGCACTCTACCACTTGAGCTCAGCGTCTCTTCTGGCTTTTTCTGCTTATGTGGTGCTGAGGAATTGAATCTAGGGCCTCATGCATGTGAGGCAAGCACTGAGCCACCTTTCTAGCCCTACTTAGGTTTTTATGCATGTAAAAGCCATCTTATTTTGGTAACCTTCAAATATTTCATCATGTAACTGTTACTATATTAGACCTTGTGCCTTATATTGCTCTGATCTGCCCATTTATTTATTACAAACCCTAAAGAATGAATTAAAGTTCAGGTCCAAACACTGTTTGGCCTGATAAAAATTTCAGGACCGAGATTTTGAAAAGTCTTATACTTGTTAAGTTGATAACAGATCTTATATTTGTTAAGTTGATAACAGAGTTGGAAACTAATATTGTGGTATGAAGATAAGGGTTGGCATATAATGACTCCTAGTTTTCTGATTTGGTAACTAAATCCATATGGAATTTTTAAATGTAGAAAAATTAAAAGATTCCTAAAGAAGATAACAGGGTTTTTTTTCTTTTTCTTTTGGCAGTACTGGAATTTGAACTCAGGGCATTACTTTAGTTATTTTTTCAGCTAGGTACTCATGTTATTTTTTGTTTAGGCTAGCCTGGGCTGTAGTGTTTCCCACATCGCTGAGATAACTGGCCATGCCATCATGCTCAGCATTTTTTGTTGAGATGGGGTCTTGCTAACTTTTTTTTTAAAAAGTCTAGTTGATTTTGAATTGTGATCTTCCCAATTTTTACCTTCTGAATAGCTAGAATTATAGGCCTGAACCACCACATTTGACAGACAAGTTTTTGATGTAAGGATTGTATTTACTATGAGGGATGTTAGCTGTATGTTTCTGGTTGGTAACCAAGTATGTGTATATAACACAAGAGAATTTCAGGGTAACTAAATTTTTGGGTTAAATTCATTTTAATGGAAGAGATTAGCATTGAATATAGAACCTTGAGGAACTGAAGGGGCAGGTAAAGAAAGAACAGTCTTAGTAGGAGGATAAGAAAAACAGAGATGAAGCCGGGTGCTAGTGGCTCATGCCTCTAATCCTAGCTACTCAGGAGGCTGAGATCTGAGGATCACGGTTCAAGGCCAGCCTGGGAGGAAAGTCTGTGAAACTCTTATCTCCAATAAACCACTAGAAAACCGGAAGTGGCGCTGCAGCTCAAGTGGTTGAGCGCTGGCCTTGAGCTGAAATGCTGAGGGACAGCGCTCAAGGCCCAGAGTTCAAGCCCCACAACCAAAAAAAAAGAAAAACAGATGAAAAAAATCAAGAGAGTAGCATTATGGAAGCCAGTGGGAAATTGTCATTTCAAGAAGGAAGTTGTTAGAGCCAGGCACTGGTGGCTTATGCCTGTAATTCTAGCTACTAAGGAGGCTGAAATTTGAGGATCTCCATTCAAAGCCAGTCTGAGCAGGAAAGTCTGAGAGACTATCTCAAACCACCAGAAGACGGGAAGTGGCGCTGTGGTTCCTTCCAGTGGTAAGATCGCTTGCCTTGAGCTGAAGAGCTTAGGGACAGTGCCCAGGCCTAGAGTTCAAGCCCCATGACTGACCTAAGAAAAAAGAGGAAGTTGTTAATGTTATATTACAGAGAGATTAAGTTTAATAAGACCATATAAAATAACAACAAAATAGGTTTTGCCAAACCTTCATATTGCGGTCGTATATTTTACGGTGTGGACAAAGTCTAGTCCATGATATTTATTCCCTTTTACTATGAGATATTTGAGAAGTAAAACTTCATTTTGTTCAGAATTTAAGGAGATTGCTTAGAGCTGTTTAGCCATACGCAAACTACAAACTCCACATTAGTATGGCATTATGAAATAGTGCAGAGGTTTATGTGGATTTAATTATGCTTATATGTTTTTAAAACCAATCATCTTACCCAGGCTTGGCTCATGCCTATAATCCTAGCACTTGCAAGGCAGAGGCAGGAGGATCTTGAATTCCAGGCTGTCTGGCTACATAATGAATTGAAGGGCAGTCCGGACTTGCAGAGTAAGATTCTGTCTGGAAAAAAAAAAGAAAAAATTAATTGATTTTTTTTGTTTTTTTTTTTTTAAAGAGTTCTTGTCTTTTGGCAGTATCAATTGGATGGGAAGGAGGTGTTTATGTACAAACCTGTGGCCATACATTACATATAGATTGTCATAAATCATACATGGAATCCTTACGGGTAAGTTGATTGGGAAAACTTTTAAAGGTATTCATATATTTTCATTTTTAAAATACTTTTCCAACATATATATCCAACTGAGGACTTTTCATATGTATACTTTAGCAACTGACTTTCAAAGCTAGAGTTTAGACTTTGGTACTCTAATTCTGAAATATTAAGCTTTCATACCCCACTATATTATCTTGCTACGATGATTCTTTAACCTCTTATTTGTACTATAATTAGCATTTTCTAACCGTTTGCATTTTCCCTAGCTCATTAGCTTTTCCTTAACCTCACTTAATTATTTGTACTTGTTCTACCTTTATTCCCAGTTATTTTGTCTCCCTCCTTTGATTTTAAACCTATACAGCTGGTCCTGCTAGAAAAATCGTAAAACTCAGTGAACTGTTAGCATCACAAATTTGTGATTTCCCTCTAACATTAACTTAGACTAGGGTCATGAGCTATAAATATACCTGTTGATTCATGTACCTGGTTTGATTAGTTCCCAGTCCTGTTGTTCTTAGCAGTGATTCTATACCGTTGCCTCCTTGATTCCAGACTCTTTTCTCTCAGCAGATCCTAGCGTTTATGCCATTTAGAAAATGGTGTCTCTACCACCCACTCTTCGATTCCTACTTGGCTTTTTCTCCCTTCTTTTTTTTTTTTCATTTCCTAATAAATGACTGCATTTTAATCCATTCTTTTCTTTTTCCTGGAGATAGTATTATAGTATTCCTTCTTCCTTTCAGAAATACCTATTCTTTTTCTCCAACATTTCAGAGGCCTTAATCGATCAATATGTTACCTCTTTTTCTTCTATGTCTTGTTTCTTGCTGTCTCTTCTGTTCCTTCTGAGCTCATAAGGCATTCAGGTCTATCTTTTTCAAAATTCCTGTGTAGTTAAAGTCTTTTCTCTTTCATTTCAGCTTTTTAAAGACAACGTCTACTGTAAATGCAGGTCTCATTTATTCTTCTAACTCAGAAGGCTTTCTCTTTTTTTTTCTTTTTTGTCGGTCGTGGGGCTTGAACTCTGGGCCTGGGCGCTGTCCCTCAGCTCTTCAGCTCAAGGCGAGCGCTCTACCACTTGAGCTACAGCGCCACTTCCGGTTTTCTGGTGGTTTATTGGAGATAGGAGTCTCATAGTCTCTCCTGCCCGGGCTGGCTTTGAACCGCGATCCTCAGATCTCAGCCTCCTGAGTAGCTAGGATTACAGGCATGAGCCACCAGCGCCCGGCTGGCTTTCTCTTTTTTCCTTCTTGTTTCTTCTCACATGTTATTTGTCATTAACCATAATTCTTCTCTGGGCCTGGGCACTGTTCCTCAGCTCAAGGCTAGCGCTCTACCACTTGAGCCACAGCACCACTTCCTGTTTCCTGTGTGGTTTTTTGGAGATAAGAGTCTCATAGTCTTTCCAGCCTGGGATAGCTTTGAACTGAGATCTGAGTATCTCAGATCTCAGCCTCCTTAGTAGCTAAGATTATAGGCATGAGCCACCGGTGCCCAGCCCAACCATAATTCTTTTGACTCTGCCCCCTAAATCTCACTTTGGCTATATATTGCCTTCATTATTTCCACTGCTGCTGTCTTTCCTCTTGACCACTGCAATTGTTTTCATATTGAAGTTTGTATTCATTTGTGTTCATTTCTAGTCTAATTTATTTATGACATTGATCTTCCTAAATCTAAATCTGATATTGTTGTATGAGTTGGCATTAAAACACTTTGCCTCTTATAGGAAAAATTCACTCTTGAATGGCATACAGGTACTTTTTGATCTGGCCTTGCTTTTTGTTTTGCCTATATATTCTTTTACTTGATTGTTAATAAGCTAGTTAACAGGTTCTTAACAGAATATGCATTTTCATACTTTATAGTTAACTGTTCATTCAGCAAATATTTTTTTTAATTAATTAATTTATTTTTTATTTGTGAACATACTGTACAGAGGGGTTACAATTACATGGGCAGGATAATGCGTACATTTCTTACCAAGCATTGCAGCCTCCTCCTTTGGTTTACCCTTCACATCCCTTCCCAGCCTCCCCCCTCCCCCCCAATCCCAACCCTTCTCCTCCCCCCCCTCATTCAGCAAATATTTGTTCACTATCTGTAGTATTATAGATACTATGATAGCTATTAAGAATATAATAATGAATACAACAGAGACTCTTTCCTGAAAGAGGACAAAATGTGGGAAATGTTTTGAGGTACAAACATAGTCTTATTGGAATATTTGATGAATTATATACTTGAGTAATGTGATATACCCTGGAAACATAATTAAGGGGACAAACTGTAAAGAGCCATATTATCCAGATAAGGAATTTGTACTTTATAGCTTTCTTAGATAAAATCATTAAGCAATCTTTTTTTGTTTGGTATTTTTTAATTGCTATTGTAAAGGTGATGTACAGAGGGGTTACAGTTATATAAGTAAGGTTAAAGTGTACATTTCTTTTTGGAAAATGTCATCCTTTCCCTCATTCTCTCCCCCATTAAATATTCTTAAGTAGAGATATTGCCCAGAAAGATCTTGTGACAATTATGTTTTGATGGGATTTTTTTGTTATTTGAAGATCACAGACTTTCCTACCTGGGCTGGCTTTGAACTGTAATACTCATCCTCATGAGAAATAGAATTTCAGGCATGGGACACTGCTACCCAGATGTCAATTTTTTTAATGATTAATTTTTAAAAATCACCATTGTGGTTGTACAAGTGGTTACAATTCAGTGTGTCAGTTTATGTGTATAGTGCATCTTAGTTATTTTCTCCCATCTCTCCCAACTAATGTCAAAACTAAAAAGTTGAATTCAGTTTTGTTTTTAAATAAGTATTAAGTCATTTGTATAGTCACTTATGTTCAGCAGTTAAGACATCTAAGACTTTAAAAATTATTTTCTAATAGTTGTACAAAGGGATTTCAACTTATGTTATATATATGTGCAGTACATTTTTATTAGAGTCACTTCTTCCCTCATCCACCCCTCTCCCACTTTTCTCTTTACTTGTCTCATCAAGTGTCCCAGTTCCTTTTTCAGGTATATACATAGGGTATTAAGACTGTTCATTCATATATCATTCCTCTTTCCTATGACATTTTTTAGATTTTATTTACTTTTTTCAAGTATCTGTCCTAGATCAAAGAATGTGAACTCTGGGATAATCTTCCCAATTGTCCCTTATAGATTTTGGGAACAGGTGTATTGAGGAAAAATAAACTGGTATCTTGTAATATGGTTTGTGTTTTGATTTATTTTTAAGTCTTAAATCCACATGGCAGATTGATTGCATTATTACTTGAATGTACCATACTGGGAGCAGAATAAGATACACAGTTCTTTTTCAAAAAAATTTTTTTGGTCTTGGGGCTTGAACTCTGGGCCTGGGTGCTGTCCCTTAGCTCTTCAGCTCTACCACTTGAGCCACAGCGCTACTTATGGTTTTCTGGTGGTTTATTTGAGATAAGAGTCTCACAGACTTTCCTGCCCAGGCTGGCTTTGAGACATGATCCTCAGATCTCAGTCTCCTGAGTAGCTAGGATTACAGTGTGAGCCACTGATGCCCAGGTAAATTTGTTATTATTTAAAAAAAGTTTTTATTGTTGTTATAAAGGGGATGTACAAAGGGATTACAGTAACATAAGTCTGGTAAAAGAGAGAGAGAGAGAGAGAGACAGAGTGTGTGTGTGTGTGTATTTTATAATGCCACCCCTACTCTCACTCTTGCAAAGTTGATACACAGTTCTTTGGTGAGGGAAAGTGTTACATAATTGCTATAGTGTATGAAGCAAATTGGTTCATGACATTTTAAAGATTGTATTCATGGTAAACTTTAGCAGTTAAAGATTGTGTTCATGACCATTCTTTAGCTGGGTGGTGGTGGTGGCTTATGCATATAATCGTAGCTACTTAGGAGTCTGGGATATTAGGATCATGGTTCAAAGCCAACCAGGGCAAGAAAGTCTGTGAAACTCTTATCTCTAATTAACCACCAGAAAACTGGAAGCAGAGCTATGGCTTAAAGTGTTAGAGTGCTAGCCTTGATCACAAAAGCTCAGGGACAGAGCCTAGGCCCAGAGTGCAAGCTCCACAAATGAAACCCTCCCCCCCACCCCCAAAAAAAGATATTTTTCTTTGTAAAATTCACTAGTTTATTATAGAATATGGTTATGCAATTTTTGTTGTCTCTAAGTGTGTGTCATTTGTCTGCATCTTTTTTAACTTTAATTTTAATTTTTTTAGAATGACCAGGTTCTTCAGGGCTTCTCAGTGGACAAAGGAGAATTTACGTGTCCTCTCTGTAGGCAGTTTGCTAACAGTGTTCTTCCTTGTTATCCTGGAAGCAATGTGGAAAATAACCTTTGGCAACGCCCTAGCAACAAAAGCATGGAAGATCTCATAAAGGAAGTGGAAGAGTTGCAAGGACGGCCGGGAGCTTTCCCAGTAAGCATCAGTGTAAGACAGAAATATCCTGGTTAATTTAGTTCTGCCTTTCAGCTTTTATTTATATTTCTCAGTTTCTAAATTAATCTGAAACTTTGTACATTCAATAGAAAATTATTTCTCAAGGCCTTTTGTCTTCTGTGCATATAATTAAAAACAAAAATGAAAGTAATAGAAATTATTATACTTTTCTTTAACTATACTTTAACTCATTTTAATGTACTCTCTTCCTAATCATGAACTCCTTAACCTTAAATATGGATTTTTTTTCCATTGGTTGTGGGGCTTGAACTCTGGGCTTGAGTGCTGTCCTTCAGCTCAAGGAGCCTCAATGCCACTTCCAGTTTTCTGGTGGTTAATTGGAGATAAGAGTTTCATGGAATTACCTGCCTGGGCTGGCTTTGAACCGCGATCCTCGGATCTCAGCCTCCTGAGTTGCTAGGATTACAGGCATGAGCTACCAGCGCCTGGCTTGGATAGGTTTTTTTTTTTTATGTTGAAAAGTTTAAGAATTAAGCAAACCAAACTATATACAGATACGTGTGTTGCTTAGCAATGGAGGATGCATTCTGAAAACTATTAGATGATTTTGCCATTGAGTGAATATCATAGAGTATATTTACACAAACTAAATGACTATGGTGTCATTAGACAATATAAACTTAAGGGACCACCATATGTGGTACATATGTGGCCTATAATTGGCTGAAATTTTAGATAGTACATGACTACAAGTGAAACAGAAGGCTGAAATTAAAAAAATATTCTTAGTTGTTGTATAAAGATTAAGAAGATATAGTATGTATATTTCTTATGGAAAATAGTATATTGCCATTCAGAGAAAATATTATGTGCCACTTACCACAAGCCAGTCTACTTTGGTGTTTGATTTAAATTCTCAGAATATTTTAGCTTCATTATAGATTTATGATATGGTCTCTAAGAAGTAGTAACTGTGCCTGCTTTGGGTAATAAGTTTGTGAAAACTATAGATCCTTGACTTTGAAACATATATATTAAACTAATGCAGAAAGATTCATTTCTTGGTAGTTTCTTCTCTCAAGAGACAACTTACTTTTATTTTGTTTATTTCATTTTATTTTAAAAAATATATGTAAGTAGTTGTACAAAGGAGTCTCAATTCAACATATCAGTATAATAATGCTGTGTGTGTGTGTGTGTGTGTGTGTGTGTGTGTGTGTGTGTGTGTGTGTGTGTGTGTGTGTGTGTTGATGTTCAGACTTGAAATCTGGACTTGGCTCTGCCTCTGAGCTTTTGTGCTCAAGACTAACGTTCTACTTGAGCCACAGCTCCACTTCTGGCTTTTAGGGATTAATTGGTGGTAAGAGTCTCACAGACTTTCTTGCCCAGTCTGGCTTTGAACTGTGATCCTCAGCTCTCAGCCTTCTGGTAGAGGTAGGATTGAAACCAGTGCCCGGCTATATTATTTTTTTGAAAACCAAACATAAATGAAAGCCACATTTTGTTTTTGTTTTTATTATAAACTTGCAAACTTTTATTTTACTATATTAACTCATTGTCTTAGAATAAAGTTTGTGTGGTTAATTCATAGATGATTATAGGATTATCAATCACAACATAGACTAACACGATAGGAGAAAGAAGTTTAACATTTTTTTTTGCACTGATAGATTGGTTATTTCTGTTTTAATTTTTGTCCTTCATTTCCTAGTTTTCTTATGATAAATATTCTAGTTTTAGGATGCTATTAAAGAAAATGAGAATAAGCTTTGTATGTTTTTTTTTAATAGTCAGAAACCAACTTAAGTAAAGAAATGGAATCTGTAATGAAAGATATAAAAAATACCACTCAGAAGAAATACAGAGACTACAGCAAGACCCCAGGCTCACCAGACAATGATTTTCTGTTTATGTACTCTGTTGCTAGGTAAGTGTATATAATCTATACTTTTGTATTTACTATTAATTGTTCATTTTGTTGCTCAGTAATTTTTATTTTATATTTATATTTTATATTTTATACTTATATTTATTTAAAGAATGTTTACTTTTACAATTGGTTGAAATATAGAACTCCCAGAAGGAGTATTAATGTATACTTTTATTTTTTGAGGAGTTTTTAATTTAAATTTACACAAATGGATTATTTGAAAGTGTTATTAAGCATTATAGAATATGTGTATATTCTTAATATTTTGAGACATACTACTTCTTACCATGTGAGTATTACATATGAAGTCCTGCCAAAAGTGATAGTAGTAAGAACTAAAATGTTACATGCTAAACATTTTTAATTTATGAAAAAGCAAATATGATAAGTGAAACTTGTTTTCTTAATTTGCTTTACTCTTGTGAAAGATATAGAGATATTCTAGAAAGTGGCAGGTGGGTAGGAAAACAGATAAGGAGTAACCAAGAAATTAGGCATATACTAAGCTTCTATTAACAGAGAGTAGAAGGATCAAGGTAGCAGGATGTTTCTTACTGTTTAGATTAGAAAAGATTTTTCTAATTGATTAACTGTTTAAAGCTAAGCATGTGTTTGTGTATGGGTTACTGAGGTTGGAAGTCAGGGCCTTGTACTTACTAGACAGGCACTAGACTGCCAAGCAGTGTCCCCAACCCTGTTTTGCTCTGGTTATTTTATTTATTTATTTGTTTTTGTCAGTTGTGGGGCTTGAACTCTGGGCCTGGCTGCTGTCCCAGTGTTCTTCAGCTCAAGGCAAGCGCTCTACCACTTGAGCCACCGTGCCACTTCCGGTTTTCTATTGGTTTTATTGGAGATAAGAGACTTTCCTGCCCTGGCTGGCTTTGAATGGAGATCCTCAGATCTCAGCTTTCTGAGTAGCAAGGATTACAGGCATGTTGCTCAGGTTATTTTTGACATATAGGATCTTGCTTCCTGCTTGGGCATGTACCTGGACTGTGTTTACCTATAGGTCTGTCCTTGTAGCTGGGTTGACAGGTGTGTTGTCAGCACAACAGTCTTCTTCCACTGAGGCAGAGTCTTGAGAACTTTTCTGCCTTGGCTGGTCTGGAATGATGATTCTCCTGATAATAGCTTCTTCTAGTTAGAATGGCACATGCCAACTACACCTAGCTGTTGATTGAGAAGGCATCTCATGAACTTTTCTGCTCTGCTTGGCTTCAAACTATGATCCTCTTGTTCTTAGAGTGTTTTGAGGGAAGATATAATTTGTGTGTGTGTGTGTGTGTGTGTGTGTGATATGTTGGTCCTGGGGCTGGCTTCAAACTATGATCCTCTTGTTCTTAGAGTGTTTTGAGGGAAGATATAATTTGTGTGTGTGTGTGTGTGTGTGCGTGCGTGTGTGCGTGTGTGTTGGTCCTGGGGCTGGCTTCAAACTATGATCCTCTTGTTCTTAGAGTGTTTTGAGGGAAGATATAATTTGTGTGTGTGTGTGTGTGTGTGTGTGTGTGTGTGTGTGTGTGTGTGTGTGTGTGTGTGTGTGTGTGTGTGTGTGTGTGTGTGTGATATGTTGGTCCTGGGGCTGGCTTGAACTCAAGGCCTAGGCACTGTCCCTGCTAAAGGCTAGTGCTGTACCAATTGGGGCACAGCTCTATTTCTACCTTTTTAGGTGGTTAATTGGAGATAAGAGTTACATAGGTTTTCCTGCCCAGGTTGACTTTGAACCTCAATCCTCAGATCTCAGCATCCTGAGTAGCTAGGATTATAGGTTAAGCCAGCAGTGCCTAACAATGTTTTGGATTTTTTCTAGAGCGCGCACGTGCGCACGTGTGTGTGTGTGTGTGTGTGTGTGTGTGTGTGTGTGTGTGTGTGTTCCCTTTTTAGCCAATACTGGTCTTGAACTCAGGGTCTGGAGCTGCCCATTAGCTTATTCACTCAACGTTGGCATTTTACCACTTGAGCCACAGTTCCACAGTTCCAGTTCAGTTTTTTGGTGGTTAGTTGGGAAAGCATCTCTCAGCTTTCCTGCTTTGTTTGGCTTCAAACCATGATCCTCATATCTCTAGCATTATATTAGCCACCTGTATTTGGCTAAAATATTTTAAAGTGAAAAGTAAATTAAGTATATTTTTACTGCACTAAAGCCCCAAGACTGAATAAGCTTTATTAGAAGATATTAGAAGATTAGGTCAATTGTAGTCCAACTTGAAAAATTATTGCCACTCCCACACATTTATGTCACTAATGTATTTATGTTTTTGATTTTTATTAGAGTTGACCGTATCAGTAAATTGTAATTGAATGAAAATAATCTACACATGGAATTTTCCTGTAGTATGGCAAATCAAACTATGTTTTAGTGAATTTCCAGTTTCTTGTTTTAAACATATAATTAATGTGAGATAACATTTGTGATGATGAGAGACTTTTTGGATCAATACATTTTGTTTTCTCTGTCACAGAAAAGGGACAGATGTCAAATGCTTTAGAAATAGAAAATATACTATCCTTTTCCTTCTCTGATCTCAAACAGTAAGACAGTGATTCTGAAAATGAAAGTATAACAGTTTCAAGACTTCTTAGTCTTTGGAATTAACAAGGATATTGCAACATTTTCTCAGCGAGGTTACAGTGCCCTAAGTTTTAGCTAGTTGTTAACAAAGAAATCAAAGAACAATTAATCTCAAGTATTAAGACATGAATTGAAGAGGAAAAGTGTGTTTTGGCCTCTTTAAATAAGTTATAACTTTCTTAAGACAGTATTAGTATACTGTAACATGAAAATTATTTCATAAATTCTATGGTTGCAAGCATTTAAGTAAAATATTTAGCATAAATTCTATGGTTACAAAAATAGCTGTTTAAACATTTAAGTAAAATATTTGGCATAATAAACACTTTGAATCATTAAACTTATATATAAAATATCTGATTCTTTTTCTCTTTTTTTGTTAGTATAAATTATACAAAGTGGTTTAATTTTCTTTCTTCTTCTTCTTCTTTTTTGTTTTTGTTGGTCGTGGGGCTTGAACTCTGGGCTTGGGCACTGTCCCTGCACTCTTCAGCTCAAGGTGAGCACTCTAACCGCTTGAGCCACAGCACCACTTCCGGTTTTCTAGTGGTTTATTGGAGATAAGAGTCTCACGGACTTTCCTGCCTGGGCTGGCTTTGAACTTCGATCCTCAGATCTCAGCTCCTGAGTAGCTAGGATTATGAGCGTGAGCCACCGGCGCCCGGCTAAAGTGGTTTAATTTTCTATATGTGCATATAATGTACTTTCAAATTTACCCCATCCATTAGGCTTTCTCTCCTCCACCTTTTAAAATATTTTAATGGATTTCATTATTCTTTTTTCATATGTGTATATGAAATACTTCAATCATATTTCTCCTCTTTCGTTCTTCTTTTATTCTCCCAATCCTATTGGTTCCCACCCTTAAAGAATCCCTATTTTATACTCATTATTTTTTTTTTTGTTCTACATTCATATGAAAGAGAGTTACTAATTTAACAGGATGGTTTCCAGTTCGATTTTCCTACAAGCCATGTAATCATTTCTTCCTCCTCCTTTCCCTTCCTTCCTACCTCCCTCCCTTCCTTCTTACTTCCTTTTCCTCCTTTTTAAAATGCCTGTACTGGGAATAGAAGTCAGGGACTGAGTGTTATCCCTTAGCTTTTTCATTCAAGGCTAGCACTTTACCACTTGAGCCATAATCCACATCTGGCTTTTTGGTGGTTAATGGGAGATAAGAGTCTCATGGACTTTGCTTCCTGGGCTGGCATCAAATAGTGATCTTTAGATTTCAGTTACCTGTGTAACTTAGGATTACAGTTGTGAGCCACCAGCACTTGGCTTATTTCATTCTTGTTTATGGCTAAATTCACAATATTGTGTAGATATGCCTCATTTATCCATTCATCAGTGGATGGATACCTAAGATGATTCTGTAGTTTGAATATTGTAAATAGTGTGGCATATATTACATATGTGTGCAAATATCCTGGGATTTGGACTTATGCCTTATACTCAGTTGGTATGCCTTATCCTCAGTTGGTTTGCTTGCTCTGTTGGCTTTCTACCACTGGAGACACACTTCTAGCCCTGTTTTTTACCAGTATATTTGTAAATGTGGAGTTGATTTGATGGATTTTGGAGAATCATATTTCCTCATTTCTTTTTCTTCATGTCTTGTTTGTGCTTGGTAATTTAAGCTTTATATACAAGTAAAAAGTTTTTTTTAATATTGAAAATGTTCAGGTACACTCAAAGACTCAGTTTTACCTCTAAATCTGAATTTGCTGCAAGATCATGTTAATGTATGTTTTAAGAAATACAGTTTTCTTAAAGCACATGCTTATAATCACAGCACTCAAAAGGCAGAGACAAGAGGATTTTAAAAAAGTTTTCATTGTAAAAATAGTGTAGAGAGGGGTTGCAGTTACATGAGTAAGGTAATGAGTACATTTCTTATCAAGCATTGTTACCGCCTCCTTTGTTTTTCCCCTACCATCCCTTTCCTCCCCAACTCCACCCTCCTCCCCAAGTTGTAAAGTTTGTTTTCAACATAGTGTTTGCACATCTTACTGTTACAATGGGCCAACAAGAGGATTTTGAGTTCATGAATTATTTGCGCTACACAATAAAACTTGACAAGACAAAACACATAACAAGACTAAAACAAAAAAAATTGTTTTTCCAAAAACTATATCTCATCCAACAGGTTTCAATTTCATAAATGTTAGTAATATATGAAAATCCTCTCTAAAGTGGTCAATTAGATAGGATTTTAAATTAACCTTTAAAAGGTTAATTTAACAGCCAGGCGCTGGTGGCTCATGCCTATAATCCTAGCTACTCAGTAGGCTGAGATCTGAGCATCGTGGTTCAAAGGTTCAAAGCTAACCCTGGGCAGGAAAGTCTGGGAGACTCTTTCTCCAACAAACCACTCAGAAGACCAAAAGTGGCGCAGTGGTTCAAAGTGGTAGAACACTAGCCTTGA